TGTTCTGTGAAGTCTGGATTCAGTCAGAGGGCCCCACTTGAGGACCTGGAGGGCCACATGTGACCTCAAGGCCGTAGGTTCCCCACTCATGGTCTACATACTCATTCTGCCACTAACTTTCTGGGTGACCTGGGCTTTTTTTTCCTGCCATGTCAGGATGGGAGTAGATTATTTCCAAGGTTCCTTCCAAAGGTTCAGTTTCCAAAGTCTCTTCTGGCTTTGACATTCTGTGGTCTACTTTCAAAACGTAGCCCAGGTCCATTTCTCCCTGGACTAGCTCTGTTCCTATCTGCTTGGCCCAGCATGTCCAGTGTGAGCCTGCATGGACCATCGGGCAGTTTTGGGAGATGTCAACATCTTAGCAGCTTCCCCTTCCCTCCATCCTATAAACGCTGAGGCACAATGACAGACGACAAGCAATCAGAACCGGGGGAAGCATAAATAGAAAAGCTTTTATTTTGGTTAGTAGGGTACAGTGTCATTTGCATGATATGGTTCAGAGGAATTGGGCTGGGGATTTTCTTCAGCGCATGTGTTCTTTAAGCAGCTTAAAAGAATGCATATTTCAGGGAGATTTGTGGCATCCAGGACGTGGTGGTGTGGAGGGGGCAGGGGAGGGAGGAAGGGGAGAGTGGTTTCTTTTACCCCAAGGCAGGGGACTCTTAAGCAGGTCAGACAGGTGGAAGTCTTGCCGAGGGCCCTCGGCCTAAGTTGGCGAGCACCCAGTGGTGTCTGACTGCCTGCTGGAAGCTGGCATGGGTATGATGGCAGTACCACTTGAGACAAGGTGGGTGGAGGGGGCATTAGACGAGGCACCTTCTTTCCCAGAGCCCTGGGGGATTTCAGCTCCCTCAGCAATGGCGCCCTCCCTTCTCCTCCTCCCACCCAACACAGCTGAGAGCTTCTGGGGCCTCTTTGGAATCTCTAGGCAGGGGTTAAAAGGTGAACATTGTAATAAGAGGATCCCTAGCCCCCTTCCAGTTGTTGTCCCCTCTCCTGAAGTTGACCCCCTGAAGTCATGGGATAGTGAAACCAGTCCTGGATTTCAAGCTAAAGCATCTGGGTTCAAATTCCAGCTCGATTACTTATTAGCTTTGTGACTTGAAGCAAGTTACTTTCCCTTTCTGGGTCAGTTTCTTCCTCTGTAAAGATGGAGGGGGTGGCATAGGTGGTTTCTAAGGTTCCTGGAAAGCCTTTGATCTTTTGGATAAAGTGGTCCACCCCAACCCAGCCAAAGTTTACATCAGCATCCTGATTTGGGGGGGGGCTATCAGTGAGGCTTTTTTCCCCCCAGGACTCTGGGAGTAGAGCCACCAGCAGGGTAGGGTTGCCCCAGAAAATGATGGGCCGTTTGCCTGGGGCTGGGGGAGGGGGAGAGGAGAAACTAGACTGTTAGCTTGAATGTGTAATGTTTGATTGGAGGGAGGGGTGAAGGAGCAGTGGGGTGGGGTGGGGGGTTCAGGCTCCCCAGGCTGGAGGAGATGGCAGGGCCATCCATCCAGTGGGGCTATGGGAGGCCTTGGCTGGGGCTACAAGAGAGATCTCCAGGCCTCCCACAGCAGCCAGGGGGAGAGGGGCAGTGAGCCCAGGCTGGTACAAACAGCAGAGCCCTTTGAAGTGTTGGAAATGGGCTGCCAGGCTACCAAGGGGGAAGATCAGAGGCAAGGAGGGGAGGGAGGCAAAGACCCTCCCCACCCCCTGCCTTGTGTGGGGGGCTGGGCAGGCAAAGCCCCTACTCAGGCTGTGGGATGGGGGACAGAATCCAGGGAGCTTTGCTTGATATACAAGGTGGCCCTGCCCCTGGTGCCAGCTGCTTTGAGCATGGCCAAATATTGCCACTGTTGGAGGGGAGTGTTTGCAGAGCTGGAAGGAGCAAAGAGGAGGAGGCATTGGCCAGCCACCCAAAGCAAGCCCTCTGCAAACACCAGCTTCCAGAGAGGGAGCCCTGGGGGGGGTGGCCCCTGGGCTGAGGAGGGGGGGTTGGTGACCGGTTCCCTGAGAAACCACCATCCATCCTCCAACCTCCCACCCTGGGGGGGTGAGGGCAGGCATTGGGAAAGCTGATTTTCAACAACAACCGTGTCTTGGGCCTCCTGGTAAGTCTGAGAGCCTAAAGCACTTGGGACCTGAGGTGTCTTGTCTCTCCATCCAATCTGGCTATGAATAGAGGGCCAGGTTAGCGAATGCCTCCCCTAGAATCAGACAGGAATCCCTGAGAAGCCTGAGTGTTTAGGTTTCTTTGCAATTTGCTGCTCTGTCCCTCCCTCCTTCTCTTTTCCCTTCTCCCACTGGTAATCAGCTGCAGCCCGAGGCCATTGTCCCCCTCTACCTCTTCTCCCCCTTGGGCCTCCCAAGCAGAGTGCTGTAAATCACTGCTCAAAGGTGCCTTCAAGCACTGGGGAGCCCAGCTTTGGAGGGGCCCTAAGGGCCCCGACTGGCACTTCCAGCTCCTACCTATGGGGCAGAGGCAACATCACATGTGTGCATATAGCTACATGGGTTCTTACATTCAACTATATACACTGTTGAAAGGCTAGAGTAATCATTTAAATTAAAGACAAACAGAAATATATTAGTATAATAGAAGCGTCAGACCAATACTCCTTGGGAAGGAAATGGTTGAGTAGATAGACCCAGCAGAACCTTGGGAAGGGCCAGGCATCTGCTTAGGGATTTGTGAAAAAGAGGGCCAAGCTAGGGGGAGGGGGAGCAAGCACTCTAGGAGAGAGGTCCACCAGGGCTCAGAGGCCAGTGCTGGGGGGGGGGTGGGGGGCGGGACCCTGGGCGGGGGGATGCAGGGGAGGAGAAGGGCAACAGCCACCCTGGGGCCTGGTCTTGGGGCCAAGGCAGCAGTAAAGTCATGGATGACTCAGCTCACAGTTGTGGCCACATCACAGACCAGTAATGAGCCCTAGATATGGTGGGGTGGACATCAGGGTGAAGGTTTGAGACACTTTGTTCCTTAGTTTTTCAGAGATTTTTCCCTCACTCCCAAGACATGTTACAGAAGCCTCTTGTTACAGGAGCCCTCTTGGGGTTTTGTGAGGTTTGGACTTTTTTGGCTAATAAGAGGTGCTCTAGTTCTTGGCCAGAGAGGGTTGGATGCCTTTAGGATTCTCCAGTCCTCTCTGTCTCTGGAATGGGATCTTCTCCTCTCTCCCCACTCCCTCTCCAGAAGAGAACACACAGGAAGTCTACCTTTAGCCTCAGTCCGCATTCCTGAAAAACAGACTTGACTTTGCCAGCTCTCCCAAGGAGCCAGTTCTGAGGAGGCTGGCTGCAATGTGGCGGATTCTTTTTTCTTTTAACACTTGCCTTGCTTCCTCACCCCTTCTCTTCCCCCTGTGTCCTCAAAGCTAACCCAGAGAGGTACATGGAATTTGAAGGTCCCAGTCTCCTTGTTTCTGTGATGGGGAGAACAATTGCTCTTGGCCCTTGGAGGTCATGGGAGAGGCTGCTTTCAACAGGGGGAAATAGAAGCATGGGAAAAAAAAACCACCTGGCTGGACAGAGCTAGATAAGAGTACTGGCCACTTGGTTAATTTCTTGCCCTGGTTTTATCCAGCGGGGATGGGAAAAAAGACCAACTTGTGTATGGCTCGTGACCACCTCCTAAGGGTGGCTTGGTCCATTCCTCCCACGTGGTCTTTGCTTATTTTGTCTCTAAAATGAGTTCATCTCATTCACACTATCACACTAGGAGAACTGCCCAAGGGAAAGACACAGAGAAAGAAAGAGAGAGAGACAGACAGACAGACACAGAGAAAGAGAGAGAGAGAGAGAGACAGAGAGAGAGACACACACACACACAGACAGAGAGAGAGACAGGTGGGGGGTGAGAGAGAGAGAGAGAGAGAGAGAGAGAGAGAGAGAGAGAGAGAGAGAGATGTAGAGATGTAGATATGATTATTGGGTCATGGTGAGATGCTGGGGGATGGGGGAACAGAAATGTCCAAGAGAAAGAGAGAGAGGGAGATCTAGGTATGATTGTTGGGTCATGGTGAGATGCTGGGGGATAGGGGAACAGAAATGCCCAAGCAACAGCTAGACAGCCTTGACCTGGTTCCTATGCCAGACTCCCACCAGGCCCTCCCATGTCTAAACTCTTAGTCCTTTGGGAGGTCTAGTTTTTGACCAGTGGAAGAGACATCACTGTCAATTACTGGTCAGGCAACAAGCCTTGGAGTATTTCAGTTCAATTTTTCAAAATGGTGAGGGTCCAGAGGGACTAGAACCTCTCTTTGCTTCTTCAGCTCTCATATATGGAAGCAAGGGGTTTTCTAGAGCCTTCTCTCCCCTTGCCCCTCACCACCTCCCATCAAGCAGTGGCGTTGAAAGCACTGGATCTGGAGTTGGTAGACCTGGCTTCACATCCTAGCTTTGCCACTTGCCAGCTGTGTGACTTGGGGTGAGTTACTTCCCCTCTGTCCGCCTCTGTTTTCTCACGTGTAAAGGAGAGGTTTAGACACAATCAGCTTTGAATCTGATTGTCCTCTCACTGACCAGTATAATAAGGCAAGGTTCTGTGCTTGGTAGATGTTTGTTGAATTCAATGGACTGGGCTGACCTCTGATTAAGCCCAAGGCTGCCTTTGGCCTCACGTGCTGCCCTATATTGTCACATTAAGTGTGAAGAGCCATCAGCTCTCACGGAGAAATTTCCAGAAATCTCAGCCTGCTTGGGGTCCTCTCCTAAGGGGCCTGGCCAACATCAGAGGGTAGAAGCAGAAGGGTGGGCTCATGGATTGCCCTTTCCTTGGCAGATGCTTGAGTGTGCCCAGCACATGTGGGCATGTGTTTACACACACGGCCTGGTTGCGTGCCAGTACAATGATCTGAAGCACCTAATCAGGAATGCCTGGAGGACCCAAAGGGAACTCTGGGAACAAAGTGCTAAGTACAGCTGGGGAACAGAACGGGGTCATCCATTGCTTGGTAGAGCCTATGGAGTGGACGCTGGATGGGTCAAATGAACCTGATGAAGACCACCAGCAGCATGAGGTAGCCAGGGAGAGCGGGAAGCCAGTGGAGGGGGTGGGGAACTGAGGGGAAGCTTTGACCACATACTGCTCTGACCTTCTCTGTTCAAGCATCTACTGTTGAATTCCACCAGGGTCTTCCTTGGTGTTGGGGACTCAGAAAGACCTTCAATGCCTTAGGTATTCTGACTGGGGGGCCTGGAGCCCTGCTACGATGGGTTGGCCCTCCATTGTGATACCTATAAGATGGTGACCTGGCGTGGGTGTGGGTTATATGGCTGTGTAATGGATGGGTTGCGGAGGCAGTAGTCAAAAACTGTAGAAGTAGCAGCCTCCCTATCTGGAGTCTGGTTTGATGTATGATCTGGGCAGCAGGGTCCCCAAAGAAAGAGCAGAGACTTTACTATTGAGATCCCCCCCCTCCCTATTCCCTTCTTGTACAGCTCGTCCCTGGGACAGTACAGCTGTGAGAGGCACTCATGGATTGATTCTCTTGGGGGGGGGGGGCGGGGTGAGAAGGACATGGCGGGATGCTGTAATGGAGATGGGGAGGGGCTGGATGGAGGAAAAAGAGTGGCCAGAAGTTACACTGGTGAGTCAGAGTAGTGGACCACAGAATTGTAGTCAGGGGGTGGGCTGTGGCACTCGAGGGCTGGATCCAGGGGTAGGAGGATGGAGTCCTCCAGAGCATAGGCCAGAGGGTCATCCTCATCCAGCTGGGCTGGCAGCTGGGGCTGCAGAGCCTCCTTCTCCTCAGACAGCAGCACAGACTCCTTGCTTCTGCTGGTTGCTCTCAGGCTGGTGAAAGAAGACCAGAAGGTGCTTGAGTACAGAGTGGGAGGCATTGTATTTCTTACCTTGGGATGAGATGCGGGGATGAAGGCAGGGCCCAGCCATGAACACTGAGGCCCCACCCACATGAGGAAGCCCTGGATGGCTAAACGAAGGACCAATGCTATTCCTGACAGGGGGCTTCTATCCTAGCTGGGGATGCTCAGCATTGAGTCCAGCTGTAAATGACTGGGATAATTTACAAGGGAACCCCAGCCCGGCCCCACTGCTGAGGCTGGTTTGTGTCCCAAGCAGATCCTAGAAATGCATTGTTGTTGTTCAGTTGTTTTTCAGTCATGTCTGACTCTCTGTGACCCTATTTGGGGTTTTCTTGGCAAAGATACTGGAGTGGTTTGCCATTTCCTTCTCCAGCTCATTTGACAGATGAGGAAACTGAGGCCAACAGGGTGAAGTGACTTGTCCAGCTTCACACAGCTAGTAAGTGTCTGAGGTCACATTTGAACTCAGGTCTTCCTGACTCCAGGCCTGGCACTCTACCTACTGCAGCGCCACCTAGCTGCCCTAGCCTTAGATCAGGGGTGGGGAACTTGTAGCTTTGAGGCCACCTTTGGCCTTCTTGGTCCTTGGGTGCAGCCCTTTGGCTGAGTCCAAGTTTTACAGAACAAATCCTTTTCTTAAGGGGATTTGTTCTGCAAGGTTTGGATTCAGTCAAAGGGCCGCACTTGAGGACCTAGAGGGAATTTGTTCTGTAAGGTTTGGATTCAGTCAAAGGACCGCACCTGAGGACCTAGAGGGGATTTGTTCTGTGAAGTTTGGATTCAGTCAAAGGGCTGCACTCGAGGACCTAGAGGGCCACATGTGGCCTCGAGGCCCCAGGTTCCCTACGCCTGCCTTAGATATTATAGGTGAGAATTCCACAGTCATGGTCTCTCTCAACTTTGCCAGTCATCATCCTGAGAGGCAGTTGGGGTATGCTAGAGTGGGACATTCAGAGACCTTGTCTGGAGTCCTGGTTCTACATTTTCTAGATGTGTGACCCTGGGCAAGTCCCTCACTGTCTCTGTCTGACCTGATTCCTTCTCCTTAAAATGGGGCAAGTACTGTCACTGCCAATGGTGTTGAAAGGAACATGCAGTGTCCATTTGGCTTGCTTTGTGCTTCCTGATGCCTGAGGAAGACTTATGGCATGAAGGTGAGGCTAGAGACAAGGGGGTGTTAGTAAATATTTAACAACTAGCCCTCTGGGAGAAAAAAAAAATGTATGCATGACACTTTTAGCATTTTTAACATTTTTCTCCATCACTTTCTTAAGCCTAGACAATCAGCAAAACAATCAGTCCAGCCCTGATTGATGGTGTTTGCTAATTTCTGAAGCTAAAATGCTCAGGAAGCCTGGATGAGCTGGCTCCAGGACCCCACCCCCACCCCCATCCCATAGGGTTGGCATTCTGGTAGGGAACAAAGCTTAAAGAGATAGGGGTTTGATGAGAGCATTTCAGGTATCTGCCAGCAGGTGGAGATTGAGTCCTTCCTCTTCCTCATATCCACCTATGGCAAGGCTGAGCCTGAAACATTTGAATTCAATGCCTCGTTTCCTCCTGTGTGAAATACAGTACTTGGACTAGATGGTCCCCAAGGGCCTTTCCAGCTGTGACATCCCCTGAACTTGACCTCCTGTTGCTGTGCCCACCCTTGGAAGCTGATCCCACAGTGGGGCCCATTTTTCTTAAGGTCGTTAGTGGGGTCCTCGGGCACCTTGGGTTTGCCCTGCATGGCCCCCGGCTGGGACAGAGGATGAAAGCATTGTGCTTGGGATCAGTCGGCTCAGATAAGTGAGCAGGGCCCCGCCACTGTCTCCTGGCCTGCTCCGTGAGGTGACCTGGCCACAGGCCTAGCGAGCTATGAGCTGGAAAGTGTGCTATCCCTTACCTAAGTCATTTGGGGCTTTTGACAGGCTGACATTTCATATCTGCTTGAGGCTGGGGTTGGCATTAACATCCCCATTGTCTTCCCTTTCTCATTCCTTGGGCATGTTCGGAATCACAGAATCTCTAAGCTGGAAGGAGCCTTTGAGATCATCCAATAATCTCTCCTCCACCCTCCTTTTTACAGAGGAGTAAACTGAGGCTCAGAGTAGGGGAAAGAACTTATCCAAGGTCACACAGGTCAGCAATAATAAAGATGAGATTTGAACCCAGATCCTTGATTCCCAGTCCAGTGTTTGTGCTTTTCCCCTTGGTTTGTCTTCTCCCTCCCCACATGCATTAGTAATATATTTCCCCAGTTAGCATATACTCAAATCACTTGATGTTAGGGCTCCTTCTCTTGTGTCCCCCAGCCTAGCATTTAACTTGGAGCTGAGCACAACTAATCTGCCAGCACTGTCTTTACTGAACAGTCGGGGTTTCCAGAATGACCAGAGGTGTCAAACTTGCCATCCCCAGGTTAAAATGGCTTTGGGAAATGCTTAACAAAACAAATTCCAATCCAATCCAATTCAGATAATGTTAATTCGTAGTTTTCTAAGTCAATTATGTGGCCTGCAGGCCTGTTTCTCCTTGAGCTTAACCCCACTGGTGTAGATTGGCACATCTCCTGCCCAGCTGTTTGTGACGTGACCTCAACATACGGAGGTTGGCAGGTTCAAATGATTTTAGCCAAGAGCGCCTATCGAACCCAATCGGGGTCAGCTTTGTTGAAGCCCCATCAAAAACCTCAGTTCTGTCTCTCTCTCCCCTTCCCCAATTAGCTGAGATTCCCTGCCATAGGTGGCATAGAAGACTGGGCCCGGAGTCAGGAAGATCTGAGTTCAAATTTGTCCTGATACTTACTACTAGCTGTGTGACCATGGGCAAGTCATTTCACCTCTGTCTGCCTCTATCTGTAAAATGGGGATCATGGCAGCATCTACCTCCTGGGATTGTTGTGAAGATCAATGAGATGATAATTATAAAGTGCTTTGCACACTGCCCAGCAAATAGTAGGTACTTAATAAATGCTTATTTCTTTCTTTCCTTTCACCTACAGGGGACCCATTACAGATTAAGGTTGGTTTAGTGTTGATGCCCCCTTTGAAGTGGGTGAAGGGAATCAGGCAGAAAGGTATAGGTACCAAGACCTAAGTTTCTGTGGGTATTGGTGTCCGGGGCAGCTCAAGTGACCCACCCCCTAATCACACCGGCACCAAGAAGCAGGGCCAAGATTCAGACCCGGGCCCCTGACACCAAATCACAGAGAGTCTCCAAACCTGGATTTGGAGTGTAGAAGCAGGGCCCAGGCAGAGCACTAGGAGGAAGGGATAGAGTCAGAGTGCCTGGCTTGGGGCTGGGCTTGGGGGTCAGGGGACCAGAGTTCAAATCTCGCCTCTTCCACTTATTATCTGTATGATAATGGGCACATGACTTCCCCTCTCAGTTTGCCCCTCTCATGGCTTCTGAGGTCCCTTCCAGCTCTGGTTCTGGGAGCCTCGGATCTGTAAAATGGCATAATAATCACACTCGGAGCCTCACCAAATCTTTGTACAGAAATAGCTTTACCAGGACCCTGGCAACATGAGTTCACTGTGACTTTTACCTGTGCCCCTCCTCTATGGGAATGGGAGAGAGAGGTGAGGGAGGCCTCTCTTGGGCCAACATATTCTCAGTGGGGTTCCTTATTTACCAGGTAATTACAGTGAGAAGTAACTGAAAGCAGAGTGTTATGCTTAAAAAGAGGCAGAGGAATATTAAAGGGGAGAGAAGCGACTTCCTCCTTTTTCAGTTTCCCTAGTTAGCTTGGGGGTGAGGGGAACGCAGGGCAGGCTGGGGGTGGGCAGTGACTGGGGACAGAATGGACCTGGAAGTGAGACTCTTCTGCTCCCCCCAGGGCCCTCCATCGCCGCCGCCATCCTCCCACCCACCCCCACCCCTGCCAGAGCCCTGACTGTGGGAGTGACATTCTCTCTGATGATACTGGGGCCGCCTACCTCCTTTTATCTCAGATGCCAAGTTTGGTGTCTGGTCAGGGGCAGGGGGGTGGGGAAGGCTGGGGCACAAACATAGAGCCTAGGCCTAGTGTGAAGCCCAGGTCTGCATTTGCCCTGGGAGCTCAGGGCTTTGGGTCATCAGGATGGAGAGCTGGGCTTGCCAACAGCACAGGCCAATCAGCCTTGAATGAGTATTTCAGGAGCCTCTTTTGCAGAATAACTCGGATTAAGGCATTCATCTCTATTTTTATTCCATTCTCAGCTTGGGGAAACTACGCAGATTCTGTCTTTTTATTGTTTTTTTTTTCTTCCTTCTTTTCCTGTCATCTTGATGCAGGCATCATGCCGGGAAGCTCTGGCCAAGTAGAAACCCAATCTCCCCTGCGGTCTGATAAGAAGGGCAGGGCAGGGACCCTAGAGGGGGCCAGCCTCAAAGCTCCAGAGATCAAGGCCACTAGGGGAGCTAGGAGGCAGTTAGAAAGCCCATTTCTGTTTTTGCCAAGAGTTCTGGTCCAGATTCAGGTGGGGGGTTGGAGCTGGCTCAGAGGACAGCCTGACCTAGTTAACAGTGCTCAGACTAGAAGAGGGGGCAGCCTGGCCTGATCCCCTGTGTGGGCTGGTAGGTGACTGTAGGCTCTGGCAGAGGACCGGTTTCTAAGAACTCCCGGGGGACTGCTGTTACAGGGAGAGGAAGCAGAACCCATCCCTGCAGGGCAGAGGTAGGCTCAGTTAGGGAAAGCCTCTTTCCTCCACCTCAAGCTAGAAGGGACCTTAGAAGCCATTCAGTCTAATCCCTTTATTTTACAGAGGGAGAAACTGAGGCCCAGGGATGCTTGTTACTAAGGTACAGGGGGATCTGCTATGTTGGTGGAGGGGAGTCTCTGCCACATTTCCCTGCCTCACAAGACCACTGTGAGGATAAAATAAGATCATGTTTTCAAAGCTATATCACTTTGTTTTCATCGTTTTTGATGGAGTTCAAATAGAAAAAGTCCTGGGACAAGTCACTAGCTTATTTCATGTGTTCATTAGCAAGTGAGAAGCAGTGCTGCAGGGTGGGTAGCGCTGGCCTTGAGCTGGGAAGCCCTGAGTTCAAGTCTCACCTCTGACACATACTGGCTCCCAAAGCCTAAAGAAGGTGCTGATCAGCCTGGGTGGAGCAACTTTGCACACTGGGAACTCCCAACTGATTAAATCACAGGCTCTGAGTCAAAAGGCTTTTTGGTCCAGATCTAGGATGTCAGTGGTCTTTACCAAGCTTGTTTTAACTGTCTGGGACAAGAAGAGAAGTGATCTGCCGAATTGGAATGTGTCAAAGGGTAGACTTGAACCCAGGACTTCCTTGCTGTAAGGTCACTATTTGATTTCCTTTTCTACCTCCACTGAAGGTGCGAGCAATCCTCTCCCTTCTCCTCTCAGCACTTTCTCCACGTACTGCCACCTCCCGCTCATCTAAGGCTTTGGGCAAATTACAGACACCATATTTTCTTCACCAAACTCTGGGAAATGAAACTGGTCTAAAGAGATTCCTTTCACAATGCATTGTTACAAGTAGAACTTTCTTCACTTGAAATTAGGACAGCTTAAAAAATCCCACGTGTAAGGTACCTAGAATTTTAATTCTATGTTCTCAAAGCCCGGAACGTTCAAAGACAGTTAAGTTGATCTTAGAACACAGAGCTTCCATGTGAGAACGGGCTCCCTCCCCCTGGCCTCAAAGCCAATCTTGCTTTTGGCATCCCTGGGGCTCTGGGGATGGATTAAGATGCCCAGAACTTGGAGGCCAGACAAATTGGCACTAAAGAGTGCAACCTAATCCCCTGGTCCCAGCAGTCACTCCAAGTTTCATGGACTTGCCTCCCTAGGCCTGAGTGCCAACCAAGTTCCTTGAGATTCTCTCCCAGTAAAAAAGCTAGAGTTTTGAAGGCCATGTGCCCTCAAGAATGGTTATCGTGGGGGTAATGGGCCTCTCCGATGGAGGGTGTCCTGGCCACAGTACTCTCCTCTATCCACTCCCTCACCATCGACATTAAGGGTCACCAATTCTCCCCTTTGACAATCTGGATCCAGGAGAGAGATGCTCTCAACAAGGGTGACATTTAGCTCCCTAGCCTAGACATGTCCTTACTCCTCAGGGCAGAGAAAGGTGGATTTCCAAAGGCATGTTCCAGGGAGGAGGAGTTGCCTGGGGGAGCTTTCTTGGGCTGGGGAAGATACACTGGAGGTAGACAGTAGAGCTGTGGGCCACTGGTGGGGGAGGGAATGATTGGCTGATGAACAATCCTCCATTCTGCAGATGGAAAGGAATTCCTGATCAAGGACTGAGATGGAGTGGGGGGCTAGTCCTGAAGGATTCATCTTGGTCCAGTGGCTGCCCTGTGGAAGTAGGGAAGCTTACTGTACTTCCCACTACCCACCCTGTCTAACATGAAACATCTCTTTGGATGCCCAGGAGGCATTCCCAATTTTAAGCTGGAAAGGAACTTGGAGGTCATGGGACCATACATTTATAGCTGAAAGGGACATTAAAAGCCACAGAGTTCAATCCCCTCATATTTCATATGGGGAAATTAGGCCCTAGATCATTTGCCCAAGATCACACAAATCCTAGATGGCAGAGCCGGGATTTCAACATCCACATTCTTTATACTGAACTGTGATGCTTCTCATCTAGTCTAACCAGTGCTAGGCTATGAACCTGTGTCACTCCCCATCTCTGGGCCTCAGTTTCCTAAGCAGAAATCTCCTCTACAGCATCCCCAACAAGTGGTCAGCCTGCCTTTGCTTAAAGATCCCCAGTGATGGGAAACTCACTACCTGTCAGCCCAGCCCATTTAACACCGGACATTCACTTAATTGAATGTGCCTTGGCAAAAGCCCATCCCTGCCAGTCAAGATGCTGGCTGAGCCCTTTGAGTTCTTGTAGGGAAATGCCAAAAGACCTCTGCATTTTTTTGGGTCTCTTAGGCCACTTCAGAGGGAATGAACTATTTCTCAGCTCTGGTGCCTGTTGGCGTTGGCTGGGTCCTTGGAGGGCTGTGGCCTCGTCATGGAGGCTGAGAAGAGGAGAGAGCAGGAAGTGTCCCTGACCTGCTAGCAGGGCCATAAGGAGGAGTGCCACAAAGGATGGCACTCACTGCCCCGGAAGAGGGGGTAGGTTGACCCAAACTCCTACATGGGCTGGTGACAGAGTAGACTTCTGAGGCCTCAAATGCCCCTTGTGACACACACCGTGCATGCTGTTTGTGCTTCTCTAGTAATCTCAGGACAGGAGGAGATCTGCCTTGGTTCAATTATACAACGTGTGAAGGAACTAAATATGGAATGAGTGAAAGTGAGAAGAGAGGGGCTTTCAATGGCAGAGGAAGTAGCTTACTCCAGAGAGGAAGGCCAGACTTGGGTTTTAGAAAGGGTGTTCTGGGTAGAGACTGGGATGGCCAGACTAGAGGCGGGGAGAACGACTTGAGGTGAAGAATGGGATGGAAATGATTTGTTGGGGATTTGGAGCCAGTCAAACTTGGCCACTGATTGGATTCTGGGGGTGAAAGAGAGGGAAGAGGCTGTGAATTTGGGCAACTGTTCTCGATGGATGATGCTTGAAGAGAGGGGCCGGAGCTGGGTCTAGCTGGATTGCTAGAGCTGGGAGTCATCTGAGCAGCCATGATCATTGGATCTATGGAACCTGACAAGGTTACCAAGCCAGTGAGCATAAAGGGAAAAGAGAAGAGGGACTGGGCAGGAGTCTTGGGGGATCCCTGGGCTTGGGTGGGGCATTTATGATGCTGTTCAGTCTCTTATCTCCCCATTGCACCAGGCTGCCCCTCTCTGTGGCAACAAATAACAGGATGGGTCGGCCGAGGATATGTGTCTCTCCTCTAGCCCCAGGGGACCTTTTGTACTCACGCCAATGCCATGAGTCCATACGGCCAGGATCGAGTCTCCAGGCGCTTCACTGAAGGCAGCACCAGCCTGCTCTCCAACTTGTTCTCCTGGGCAGAAGAAGGGAGAGGGGTCAGCAATTTGAAGTGTGACTGTAATGTTCAAGGCTTGAAGATTAGAAAGGTCTTCTACACATTCTCACTGGCTGCTCACCAAGGCACTGTGAGGCAGGTAAATCAAACATAATCATTTCTATTCTGAAGATGAGGAAGTGGGCAGCTATCTGCCAGGTCCCACCCATGTACAGCGTTCTTCATGCTATATCACGCTTCCTCCTCCCTGAGGTCCCACTGGCCAGCAAGTAGGCCATGGAAACTGATGCCTAGGTAGCCTGGCATCCAGAAAAAGATCACAGATAGCTGTGTGACCCTTGGCAAATTGCTCGACTTCTTTGGGTCCATTTCTTTACTTACCACGGGGAGGGAAGGGGGGACACTACAAAGGAATGACTCACAGTTTTATCCTGCTCCCTCCCACACATACTGGAACTGTATAAATTACTACCCACCTGGCACATCAGTCAGAGGGTGATGAGCCAACTTAAGAGATGCTCAACCTGAGCCCTGACTTGGTTTGGCTTCTCCACTGGAAACTTGGAGTCAGAAATCCTGGTTTGGAATTTCTGTCCTTACTAGATGGAGACGTGTGAGCCTCAGTTTTCTCATCTGTAAAACTGATTGAGGCTTTGTTCTGAGCTGGGCTCAAGGTAGTGGTGGTGGAGGGTGGGATTAAGGAAGACTTCACAGAAGAGGAAGCCCCTTCAATGACTGACTTTTAAGGAAAGTTGAGAGCCCTTCAACTCGAAATCCAGGATTCCTGAGATCTGGTCCAACTTCCCTCTCTTAAAGATAAGGAAAGTCAAGTCGTTTGTCCAAGATCTTTCCATTGCTATATATCAGAGCTGGAACTGGCAGCCAAGTCCTTAGACAACAGAATATACCCCAGGTAGAGTTGGGTGACGGAGCAAAGGGAGGATTCTCTTCACTCTAGGAGTGGGGTACAAATGTTGAGGTAGGAGAAGACAGGATGAGATGGGGGAAGGGGGTGGGCTGGTGCATAGTCCAGTCTGGGTGATGCTTACAAAGCTTATGGAATTCTTCTGATTCTCACCAAATCAATTCTAATGTTATTCTATTCCTCTCCTCACCCCTCCTTACCATATTTTGTCTGACTTAATGGCTGTAGAACGAACCCAGTGAGAAATTTAAATGTTTGTGGAGCTGAAGCCATTATCGGTGTATACGTGGAGGTAAAGGGGCAGCTATGTGCACAGAGCACCAGGCCTAGAGTCAGGAAGACTCATTTTCATGAGTTCCAATCTGGCCTCAGTCACTTCTAGTGGTGTGACCCTGGGCAAGTCACTTAACTTCTCTCAGATTCTGTTTCCCCATCTGTAAAATGGGCATAATAATAGTACCTACTTCCCAGAGTGGGCAGCTAGGTGGCACGGAAAATACAGTGCCAGGCCTGGAGTCAGGAAGACTCATCTTCCTGAGTTCAAATCTGGACTCAGACACTGACTAGCTGCTTGACCTTGGGCAAATCACTTCCTTCTGTTTGCCTCTGTTTCCTTATCTGTAAAATGAGCCGGAGAAGGAAATGACAAACCACTCCAGGATCTTTGCCAAGAAAACCCCAGATGAGTTCACAAAGAGTCAGACATGACTAAAAAATGATTGAACAACAAAACATAAGTGGAAGCAGGTGGAGTACAGGGCCAACATACTCAGGACATGGGAGGGCACTTGAATTTCTCTCCTCAGCTGGATCCACAGCCCTCTTAAATCAACAAGCTGTCAAGTCGACTAATATTTAGTAAGCTCCTACTATGTGCCAGATGCTGTGCTAAGTTCTGGGGACACAAAGGGAGGCAAAACCAGTCCTCCCACCCTTGAGGAGCTCATAGTTTAATGGTGGAGGTAACACACAAATAGCCAAGTAAGAACAAGATGCCTTAGACAAGATCACCTGGAGATAATAATCAGGGGGGTTGGGAAAAGCTAGATCCAACCATCAACACCAGACTCTACTGGCAATTAGTGGTTGCAATCCATTGGACACAATGTACGGGGCTTTCACGTAAATGCTGCCATCTGAGGTGGAACAGTTAGATGAAGACCAGAGTATCCTAGGAGGCCTACGAAAGGACAGTTTATGTCCCCATTCATGGTGCCCCACGCATGCTGGAAACTCGGCCTTCTCATTGAGTTTTGAGTGGGAAGTCATCTGGCAACACCATTCTGGCCCCAGGTGAGTGGCAGGATATGGGGGCGTGCTAGCCTGGTTTGTACCCTCATTCATCATCTGGCCATATATTGGGCCAGAACGTCTAGAGCTAGAAGTGCCATGGCATGTCAGGACTGGAAGGGTCCATCCTTGAAGAACTACTTAGATCAGCGCTTCCATTTTATAAATGAGGAAACTGAGGCCAAGAAAGGGAAAAAAGATTTCTATCCCAGCCAGCATTCCGACCTGGGTCTCATGATGTCCAAATCCAGCAGTGTTACCACTATATACTTCTGTATGGCATAGTAGAAAGAGCCTGCTCTTTCTGGAACTTGGATTTGAATCTCATATCTGGTGCTTACTACTGGTGGGAGATTGAACACCTATTTCAGCTCCCTCAGCCTCCGTTTCCCCACCTGTAGAACGAGGGAGCTGGACAAGATGGCCTCGGATTCTTTCTAGCTCCAGAGGTAAGCTATGTATTTGAAGTCCCCTTATTGGTTAGAGCGACAACATCTGGATTCAAAACCAAGCCAGATGTGGTCTGACAACAACAATCTCTTTGTTTTGTTATGTTTTTAAATAAAGCGTTGTTCAAAGTACACCTGAGCTGTCCCAGAAAACTCAGACTGTGTAGTTACTGTATTTGAAAGTAGCCTACAGCTTCGGGAAGCCTCACCATTGATGAGCTAAGCCAGAGATGGGGAATCTCTAGGTCCTCAAGTGGGGCCCTTTGACTGAATCCAAACTTCATAGAACAAATCGCTTTCATGAAAAGATTTGTTCTGTACAACCTGGACTCAGTCTAAGGGCCGCACCCAAGGACCTAGAAAGCCACATGTGGTCTTGAGGCTGCAGGTTCCCCACCCCTGAAAAACACTCTGATTGGTCCTATCCAATACTAAGATCCAAACTCTCTCTTGAAGCATTATTACCTGCTGAGTGGAGGAATGGAAAGAGCCTGGGACTTGGAATTAGAAGTGCTGGGATTGCATCCCAGTCCTGTCCCTCACTACCTGTGTGACCTTGGGCAAGTCATTTCCCCATGGGGCCTCAGTGTCTACAGCTATAAGACAAGGGGGGGCTGGACTGGATGCTCAAGAAAAATGTAAATGGCGGGCACTGAGGCAGGGTGAATTTCAGACTTAGGGGTCCAGAGTGGAAACCAATGTGTCTGAGTTGATTAGAATCCCAAGGAAGGTAATTGGCATTCTTTGGCTTTTAATCACTTCCATCTAGGAGGGAACAGGCCAGGAGGTAATGAGCGTGTAGAACCCCACTGTGCGCCTGCCCCTATTGTATGCCTGCCTATGTGTGAGCACAGTAGCAGTCTGCAATGAGAACCTTCCCAGTCAGAAATTCTTTGGAGATTTTATAGGATTTAGACTAGAAGGGAACCTGGAGGCCAGTAAATCTAATCCTTTCATTGTGGGGGGGACTAGACTTAGGATGACATTGCTGTAGGGAGCTCCCAGTGAGAAAGCTCCCTGTACCGATGCTAATAGGCACCTGCTCGACAATTTATGGCCCAAGAGAGTCCAAATCTTCCATTCTGCGGAGGAGGAAACTGAGTCTAAGAAAAGAATGTTACACATATAATAAGTAGAAGATCTTGGATTTGGACCCAGTTCATGAAAATATGTGTGTATGTATATGTGGGTGTATGTATATATATATATAATATATATATACACATATATATCATATATATATGTGCATATATAGTCAGAACATGAGTATGTCTGTATATGTATGTATTTTTGCTCTCTTTGTAGTGGTGAGACCATAAATGTGTATATATGCATGCATGTACATATGTATGTGTAAGTTTGTGGAGTCAGACCATATATGTGTGTATGTATTTATTATATATGTTAGTATATATTAATACAATATATTAATATGTACACATGTATGCATGCATATATACTGGTTATTCTCTAGATTATACGAAGGTAATGGCGAGCCCGGTCAGAGGCAGTGAAATATAAAATGGCAAAGATAGACTGCTAGGCCTGGAGTCAGGAATACCTGAGTTCAAATCCAGCCTCAGACCCTTACTAGCTGTGTGACCCTGAGCAAGTCACTTCACCACTGTTTGCCTCAGTTTCCTTAACTGTAAAATGAGGATCATAACAGCACCTGCTTCCCTGCTATAAGGATCAAATGAGATCACATTTGTAAAGGGTCTGGCAAACTGTAAAGCCCTATAGAAATGTGTGATTATTTTTATTAGGATTAGCTTCCTGCTTGAGCCCCTGACTACCAAATCTCCCCCATTCCTGTTCTCTCTCTTCCCCTTCCCTCATGTGGCCCTTGCAGGGCCCTGAAACTCAAGCTCCCTGCTTTTTCACAAGAGTCTTGGGAATTCTCAGGCCTTGTGCCAAATGGAGAGAGGAGGAAACACTTACCTCAGGCCTGGTCTTCTTGGGCTCCACAGGGACCTCACTGGAAGTCTTGCCGCTCAGGGGACGCATCTGGATGCCACTGCTGTTGTGGGAGAGAGGGAGAATATAGCTCATCTGTCATTTTGCCAGAAGTCTGAACAGGTCCATAGTAATGTGGGTAATGCTCAACCCTCAGGCCTTGCCTTTGGATGCTACTCCCAGCTTTTGTTGATGTCCTAGAGAACTGGTACCTGAGCCCAAGCCCCATTCCTTGATTACTCAGTTGATCCTTGTGGGTGAGGTTGGCATGGCCGACTCACTGTCTGAATCACAGAATGTGAGAGTGGAAGGCACCCCAGCAGCCATCTGGGCCTACCCATTCTTGAAAGAAATCCTCCTCTACCTCACCCAAGAAGTGGTCACCCAGCTCCTGTTTGAAGACCTCCAAAGATGGGCAACTTATCACCTCATTCCATCAAGTAACACATCAAATTGTTGGGGAATTTTCACTGGCATTGAGCCTAAACTGACCTCTGCACCTTCCACCCCTTGGTCCTGGGCCAGGCCTCTGGGACCAAACAGAACAAAACCAATCCTTCCTCCATAGGACAGTCTTTCATATACTTAAACCCAGCTATCATGCTGTGTCTTCTCTTGTCCAGGCTGAACACCCCTAGTTCTTTCAACCAGGCCTCATATGGTGGGTACTCAGGGCCCTTCACTTTTCTCCCTGCTTTTCTCTGGACACTCTCCAACTTGGGCCAAGCACAAGCCATGTCTTTCTCAAAGGCGGGGGGGGGGGTGTCCCAAACTGAATACAAGACTCTCAATGGAGTCTGACTAGGACGGAGGACAGCTGGATCATCAATATGCCAATTACATCAACCGAAGATAGCAACAGTGGATCATATTTTGGAGAGGCAGTGGAGAACACTGCACTGGACCCCGCCAAGTCAGGTAGCTTGCTTAGGGTCATTGCTGAGATCCTGTCAAACCATTCAAATGGCATTTATCAAGTACCTACTAGGTGCAGATACCTACTATGTGCCAAAGAACTTGGGGACAAAAAGACACACTGCTGGGCTGCCTTAGCCTGTCTGTGGGCATAGTTATTTATTTTATTTATCAATGTGCAAGCACCTACTATGTGCCAAAGAATGTGGGGACAAAAAGACACACTGCTGAGCCGCCTTAGCCTGTCTGTGGGCATAGTTATTTATTTTATTTATCAATGTGAAAGCACCTACTATGTGCCAAAGAACCTGGGGACAAAAAGACACCCTGCTGAGCCGCCTTAGCCTGTCTGTGGACATAGTTTTCCTTTGTCAAATCGGCCCATTTGGCTTACAGGTGGCAATCTGTGCTTGGCATTCATGTATCGTGTCTGGAATGGACTCCTTCCCCACCTCCTCCCACTCTCGGCCTACGGAGGTCAGGAGAGGGCAGGAGGAGATAGGAGAAGTAAAGTAATCTCTCTTGTGTAGACAGACAGTAGAATATGTGAAGAGAAGTGGGGTAAGACAAGGATGGAAAGATTTTGGAGTACTTTGCCAGTACTTTTTTCACTGGGGAGCGGAGAGCTGCTGCAGGCTCTTAAGAAGAGTGTCAGTGCACACACATTAGGAATATTACCTGGGCAGTGGCGTGGAAGGCCAAATCAGAGAGAAGTGGGAAAGGCTGGATGTAGGGGAACATTTAGCCTTTGTAATAGTTCAGCTGAGAGAGGCTGAGGGCCTTCATTGGGGTGATGGCCCTCTATGTGAGGAAAAGAGGCCAGCAGGGAGAAGGGACTGGTGGGGAGAGATGTTGCAGAGTAGAATGAAGACGATTTGGCAAGGGATTGAGCCCTTCCCCTCCCTCCTTTAGCCCAGCCAAAATAGGACTCGGACATAGTGCGGAGGAGGTTGACAGAGACTGGGAGGGAGGAAGAAAGTCACAGGAAGATGATGAGGTCTGTTTGGGATGTACTACGTTAGCTGCTGGAGTGATGGGGAGAAGTGGGGAGGAGAAGCCTATCCTGGTGACTCAGATGGGAGAGGAGAGGGGTCATCGACAGAGCCTCCACAGAGTGAGAACGTATCTCCCCCAGCCTGAGGTGAGGGCCTTCTTTCTTTCTCCCTGGCACTGGCACAGGAAGAAGCATCTCAGACTATCCCAGGAGGCCTTCCTTAAAGGAACCACACCTGAACAGGCCATCCCTCCTATGAGAAGTGGAAATTCTGTGACCTCTTGCCAGCTATGAAGCCCTCCCAGTAATGGGAAGGGAACCCACCAACTCCCAAAGCAGCCTAATTTGCTACGGGCTTCTTTGAATGTTTGGGAAGTTTGCTTTTTCCTTATGTCGATCCCAATGTGCAGATTTAGAATCCACCCCAAATGTTCCCATGGACTATGTGTACCCAGCCTGTGGTAGAGTCTTCCGAGCTCATACTGGTCTGATCGGCCCAGTCTGGGTGGCCCAGTCGGACACACTGTACCTTGACCCTGACATAGTGATGTCATTTTGGTTCTCTTTGAGAACAAAGGAAAATAACCAGTTGTTGCATTTTTCTCTCCTTTGGGGCCAAGTGCAAAGCCTAATCTCTCTTCTAGAGGATGGTCTTTCAACAATTGGGGGACAGTTGTCATGGAGGAAGTGGGGTATGCTGGAAAGAGTATATTAGCTCCCAAATCAGAGGTGAATTCAATCGAGTAAATTCAATTTCACCTCTGATGCTTGCTTCCTGTGTGAGACCTTGGGCAAGTCTTTTAACTTCCCTGGGTCTCATTTTCCTCCCCTATAAAATGAGGGGGTTGGAAATGATGGTCCTTAAGGTCCCTGCCAGCTCTTACTCCAGTTATACTCTGCTAGATTCAAACATCATGTAAAACTCAATCATCTATACCTCACCTTCCCAAGGCCTTGGTCTTTTACTCTTATGAATTCCATGCAAACTCTTCCTGTCCTTCCAGATCTAGCTCCAGCCTCATCTCCTCCAGGAAGTTCTCCCTGATTCTTCCAACCCACAACAATCTCTCTTCCTCCTGGAAATACCTCGAGAGCATATAGGGCCTCATATAGTTCAATGCCAAGATGTCCTCATTGAACGTGGACAGATTTAGAGCTGAAGAGCCCTGCTTGAAATCCTGGCCTCACCCCTAAAACCCAAGTGAATCATATCCCCTTTCTCAGCTCCAGTTAATTCCTCTGTGAAATGAAGCAGTGAGATCAGATGACCTCTGAGGCCCGTCCAGCTCTAAATCCAAAGTCTATGAGTTGGGAGTGAATGCCTAGAATGGTCTTATACTTTTGCATTCCCCTTCCTGGTCCCTCTCACAGAGTAGTGAATATGGTAGGAATTCAGCCAAAACTTGCTGAGATGAATTGAATGAGAATGGCAGTGAGGCGGTTTTTAGGTTTATAGCCTTATCTCTGTCACTAACTTCCCTATCAGAGACTCAGTTTCCTCATCTGTAAAATGAGGCAGTTAGGCTACGTGAATTCTAAACTCTTACACCATAAAATACTTGAGCCAGAAGGGACCTTAGTGATAATCAAAAGGAGCTTTAGAGACCAAGTCCAAACTCTTTATTTTACAGATAGAGAAACTGAGTCACAGAGCAAGAAAGTTGACACAGGAAGAGAGTAGGTTGTGCCCAGGTTGTTGGACTCTTTCCACATCTCTCAGCATGCGTGTGAGGCCTGTCTAGCATTAAGGTTCTATGAGTTGCCCTCTTCTCCCTCCTGCCCCAAATCTTTTACCTCTTCCTCTGCCAAAATAGCCACTCAAAGTCTCCCAGACCTTCAGCTTCAAGGGACGGTAGTGGTCACAGTAATAAGCATCTTGCTCACCTGTGTTCCTCAGTGCTCTGGTGAGTAGGGTCATTGTTCAGATTCTCTTCCATGGGGCCGACCTTGAAGTCAAGCTCTTTGTCAAACATGTTGAGAGGGATGTAGTCTTTGCCTTCCTGTACAGGCAAATGAGACATAGCCTGAATCCTGATACCCCATGTCCCTTCTTCTGGCTTCCCTCCCTGGGCTGCACTGGGGATGTGCTACAGGCCTGAACCTGGCCAGTAGGAGGCCTTGGGCCTAGATGAGGTTCTCTAGCATCTCCGACAAGGGTTTTGGGGGGTCGGAGACTGACTTACAATGGCCCGGGAGGGATCAAACCAAACACTAGAGTTTGTACCCTGGGCCTACTAGTAACTAGCCCCTCACTGGGCTTTGGTATCCTTATCTACGTAATTAAATGACCTCTTCGCAAATACAACGTAGACTATCAGAGCCTATGGGACAGAAAAGAACATAGAATATACAAGGTTGGAATGTCAGAGCTGGGAGGGACCTAAGAAGGCCTGTTCACACACTCCATTTTCTATATTCTATATTTTCTATATTCTAAGGTCCCTTCCAGTTCTGACATTCCATCAGCCACTACCAATTTGGAAGAGAGAGAGAGAGAGAGGAGGAGGAGGAGGAGGAGGAGAGAGAGAGAGAGAGATAGAGAGAGAGAGAGAGAGAGAGAGAGTGAGAGAGAGAGAGAGAGAGAGTGTATGTGTGCAGGGGGTGGTCCTTGGCTTGGATTTGGAAAGGGCAAACAATGCTTGCATGGGTGGCCAGGATTACAAACTGCCTGGACCTAGATGGGAAGGATCTTTGTCAGAAAAAAGATGGCGGTCATACCTTGAGGTCTCTTCCATTAGAGATGGAGAAACCTCAGAGGCCAGCCTACCCAACCCCCTTCATTTTACTGAACCCCACTGAAGTCACATATAGGATCCTCAGGGCCTAGATCTTGGGCTGGAAGTGTACTCAGAGGCCAGCTAATGCAAGCCTTTCATTTTATGGAGGCCCAGTGAGATGAAGGGACTTGGTCCCAGTCATATGGGGTAGGAGGTGATGGGGTGGGGCTGGGACTCCACCTCCAGGCCCCTGCCTCCCAGGTGGTTTCTCTTTCCCCTCCGCCACGCTGCTTCCTCTCCCTGTAATCCCCAGGAAGTTGACAGTATAAAAATCATCACTCTCATTTTACAGATGAGCAGACCAAGGCTCAGAGAAATCAGCTTATTTGTCCAAGGTCATAGCTAGGAAGCATTAGGGGCAAGATATGAACCCGTTTCTCCTGACTCCAAGCCCATACCAATGATAATAAGGGCAAATCTGATAGTTCCATCTTGGGGTGGAAGGAGGGAGGGAGTTCTCCCCTATGGGGTTGGGCATGTGCAATGGAGCCCAAGTTTCCATATGGGGATCCATAATTTTCTGGGAGGGGCAGCTCTGGCTTCAAACAGAAGTGATCATGGGGCAACACAGAAGGAAAGGCAAGGGGAAAGGGGAAGGGGTCGGGGTGATGGGTGCACAGCTGGGGAGCTCCATGGCATGTGAATGAAGCCCATTCATTGCTTACAGCCCCACTTGGTAGGGATGAGGACAGCACTGACTTATTACTATCTGCAGCATTAACCCCTTTACTCCTTACCACCTGGTCACAATAGCCTACATTGTAACTGTCCCAGAATTCAGCACCTATTGGGGGCCAGAGCTGAGTGGGGTGGGAATATTGTAGGATGATTGGCCTCTGGCTGAAAGTGTTTACAAAGGGGGAAAACTGTGGCCTTTCACACTATTTCTTCATCTTCCCCCCTCTGATATTTGTCTGCCTGGGACACTCCCCTCTTGTTCCTCTACCATCTCTCTCCATTTGCTTAATGGAGCAGTCAGATTTAGGACCCCCACCCTACTTTCCCAGCAAATTAAACCTCTCCCCTCCAATCTGGTTCTCTCTCTGTCTCCCTCTCTCTTTCTATCTCTGTCTCTGTCTCTCTCTGGTATGTGTGTGTGTGTGTGTAAGGGTATGCATGGAAATTGAGTTGAGACAATAAAAGGTTCATGGTGCCAACTCTGTTCAAGGTTCAGTCACTAGAAGGAGACTGAGTCCTTTCTCTTAAATGTTATGGCAATACACGGGTTGGGAGGTGGTTGTAGGAGGCAGTGGGGGCTAACACAGTTGGTTTGGCTTGAGCATATCCAGGGCCACAGTGATGCCAATTTATGACATGGGAAGCTAATTAAAGAGAGGGAGGCAGAGGTAAAAGGCCATTGTTACTCCAGGGTGTGGGGCTGCGAAGTCTCCCTAATTAGCCTCCAGTATGTTTTGTCTGGCCAGGATGGGTGAATCTCATTTTTGAAATGGAATCCCCACTCCCCTGCACCTGGCTCCTAGGCCTCCCACCCCAACCCATTTGCCCTTCCAGGTCTTCCCACCTGGATGGTCCCAAGCTGGTTTCTTCCCTGAGGATCACAGAATCCTGGTTAGTGTAACTGGATCAGGAAGGTGGACTATATACATACCTGCTGAACACTGGCCTGTAGCAGGTCCCCAAGGCGCTCGACCAGCTCAGTGAAAGTGGGTCTCTCTGTGCACACACCATTCCAGCAATCAAGCATGGTCTCGTAGCTGCAGGTTGGGGAGGAACACCGAGATGGTCACACCAGGTAACCTCTTGGTGGTTTGCTTTCTACTTTTTTTGGGGGGAGTGAGGCAATTGGGGTTAAGTGACTTGCCCAAGGTCACATAGCTAGAAAGTGTTATGTGTCTGAGGCCAGATTTGAACTCAGGTCCTCCTGACTCCAGGGCTGGTGCTCTATCCACTGCGTCACCTAGCTGCCCCTCTACTTTTCTACTATCCCACTATCACTCACCCTGAAAACCACGAGCTCCCAGGCAGCTTTGGGAACCAAAGCATCAAGCATGAAGCTTAGTCACACATCGAGGACTCTTAGGAAGGACAATATCAGAGCAGCTTAGAATGTCAGAGGTGATTGGGGCCTTAGAAAATGGAACAATGGAATATTAGAGCTGGGAGGGGCTTTAGAACAGAAAATGTCAGAGCAGGAAGGGAACCTCAGAGATTATCTAGCTTGACACTCTCATTTACAGAGGAGGAAACTGAGCCTCAGTGAGGTAGTAGGCAAGTGCCCAAGATGAAACCGATAGTAAGCATCAGACAGGGATTTGAACCTGGGTCCTCCTGGGTAGGGAAGCCGGTTGGTTGCTGTCTGTGCTAAAAGAGGACCAAAATGACATCACTATGTTGGGGTCAAGGTACAGTGTGTCCAACTGGCTGATCAGATCAATACGAGCTCAGAAGGCTCTACCACAGGTTGGGCAGAAATAGTCCAGGAGAACACTGGCAGTGGAGATGTCTCAGACTGGGGTAGCCCCCTCCTATCTTTCTAATCTTACACCTTACTCCCTTGCATGTACTCTTCCAGTCAGTGACCCCAGTCTCCTGGCTGTTCTACAAACAAGACTGTCCATCTCTCCGTTCTGGGCATTCTCTCTGGCTGTCCTCCAAGCCTGGAACTCTCTCACTCCTTCACTCCAACTATTGACCTCCCTGGCTTCCTTAACGTCCAAATTAAAGCCCCACCTTCTACGGGAAACTTTCTCCGATCTCTTTTCATTCCAGTGCCTTCCCTCTGTTCATTATTTCCTATTGATCCTGTATAGATCTTGTTTGTACACATTGGTTTGCACGGTGTCTCCTTCACCAGACTGTGAGTTCCTTGAGGGCAGGGACTGGACTGTCTTTGTCTCTTTTTGTAGCTCCAGCACTTTGCACAGTGCCTTGAGCTTAGTAAATGCTTCTTGATCGATTTCTGAATGATCCTCAGACTCCCAAGTCGGTGCCCTTTCCACTCTTCCCTCAATTTGAATGGAGAAATGCCAAATGGGAGTTTGGACAGCTATTTATAGGCCTCTTCATGCTGAGTAACCACTTCTGTGCTTTTGCTTACCATTGGGTTCTGACTACACCATGCTATCATTAATATTCAAATTCCTCTGAATGAGGCACCCAATTTAGTGTTGTTTTTTTTTTTAAGGCAGTTGGGGTTAAGTGACTTGCCCAGGGTCACACAGCTAGTAAGTGTCAAGTGTTTGGTCTGAGGCCGGATTTGAACTCAGGTCCTCCTGACTTCAGGGCCGGTGCTCTATCCACTGCACCCACCTAGCTGCCCCTAGGCACCCAATTTAGAAGAAGTCTTGGAACAAGCAGTAGATAAGGAGTCAGCTTCAGAGCTGGGAACAGAACCTGCCAACAGCCTGTGTGACTGTGAATAAATCACCTTGCCCTCTCTGGGTCTCAGAAATTAGTATCAAGTCAAACTCCTTTATCTTCCAGATGAAAAGCCGAAGGTTTCTCAATCTAGCACTCTTTGGTCTTTGAGTCAATCTATGCTCTAGGACTTCCCCAAATGGGCATTTGGGGCTCACTTGATCCCAGTAATGATCAATCTTGGGACCCCTGACCTAGAGGAGAACTTACATTTCTGGAGTTGAATACTCAGGGGATTTCATCCGGCTGCCTTCCTTGAGTCGGAGGCAAAAATCCTCATCTATTTGCACTCCTGGGTAGGGCGAAGCACCTGTGGGAGACAAGCATTTCAGGTTTCAGATATTTCCCGACTGTGGGGGGATTCCCAAGAAATGTTGGGAGACCCCAGGCAGAAGTGGGCTGCTGATGGAGGGCAGCGTTTAGGAACGGGAACACTTCTGAAGGAGGTGACTTGTATTTCACTCAGTCTGAGCCAAGAGACTTTGGCCCAGGGCCAGGACTCTGATGATCGTTAACAATCTAGACAGATAACAAGCTAGGAAAAAAAAAAGAGTGGCATAGTATTTAGGATTTGGGAGTCTGGAGGCCCCCTCACTGCCTGTGTGACCTCAGGCAAATCACTTGCCCCCTTTAGGCCTCAGTTTCTGCCTTTGGAAAACAAAGGAGTTGGATAAAATGGTATTTCAGATCTCTTCCTCAACTTATCTGCTCCAAGGTTGCTCCCATGCTGGGATCTGGGTTCTAAGGCTTCTCTCCCTTCCAAAACAACTGAACTGGACCAATATTCTCTTTATCTGAGATACTCTGGACCCCTTGGGCAAAGCATGACTTCCCCAGTGATATTTCAGACTGTTTCTGAGCATGGCCATGTTGCTGGCCTCTGTCAAATGGGGCTCATAGCTGGAAGCAATCCAGCTAACCCTCCAGTGTTTACTAGATTATGGGACAAGTAAACAGCTGCCTTTTTCTCTGGGTCTTTTCTGGAGGGCAGAGAGCACATTCCCAAACTTGAATGAGAGTTTGAAGCCAAGATAGTAGGTGGGAGACAAATATTTATGGATCTGCTTTGCCATGAACCTGTTACTATGTGCCCTGTGCTAGGCTCCCAAGATGGCAAAGCCTGGGGGATTGAGAGGTGGGAACCCAGAGCCCTGGGCTGGCCCTGCCACTTCAGCTGTGTGATCCTGGATGATTTATGGCCCATCTCTGAGTCAGTCTCTCCTCTCTCTAAACAGGCCAGTGGCGAAGAATGAAGGGAGGGGAGGGGTCAATGTGGATTGGTGGGAAGAGTCGGGAGACCTGGATTGGCAAGCTTACTTCTTCTCCCTGGGCCTTTGTAAAATGAAAGGGTTTGGAGTCAGAGGCCTTGGGTTTGAGGACCGCTACTTACTAACTGTGTGACCTGGGGCAAATCCTTTCACCTCCTTAAGTGGGCCTCTGTAAGACAGGGGGTTGGACTTTCTGACCTCTTAGGTCATCATCATTTCTAGATCTAGGATCCATTAGATTGTAAGCTCCTTGAGGGTAGGGATTGTCTTTTACCTCTTTTTGTATCTCCAGTGCTTAGTCCAGTGCCTGGCACACAGTAGGTGCTTAATAAATGTTTATTGATTGATTGGTCCTGTGTGATCTGGGTCAAGTCGATTCACCTCTCTGGGTCTCGGTTTTCCCCTTTGTAAAATGAGGTCCCTTCTAGCTCAAGTCCTAAGATTCTAGAGTCCTGTGCCTGGTGTCAGGAAGACCTGAGTTTAAATCCGACCTTAGACACTTCCTAGCTGCGCAAGTCACAGAGATTTCTCTGTCTGCCTCAGTTTCCTCAGCTGTAAAATGGGTACAATAATAACATCTACCTGCCAGCGTTATTGTGAGGATTAAATAAGATAATATTTGCAAATTGCTTAACACCAAGCCTGGCACATAGTAGGTGCTTAATAAGTGCTTGTTTCCTTCCTGTGTGTGACCTTGGGCCAGTCACTTTTCCTCCTCAGGTCTTTGGGGGGGGGTGGCCTCAATGGTCTCTGAGGCCCTTTCTGGCTTGCCATCTATGATCCCATGACTAGATAATTTTGAAATCAGTCTCCCAGCTGATTAAAATGGTCTCTAAATATTAGAGTTATTGCATTGCTTCTGAAAGCCTGGGACTTCAGCAATTCGGGTATTGTCTTTTCAGGGCTCAGGAAGAGCCAGAGAAAGTATGCCCACAGGGATGGGGGTGGGGGTGGCGTGGTGCCTTTCATTGCCCAAAGGTGCAGGCGTCTAGCCTAGGAACTCTAGGAAAGAGATGGGAAGTCTTGGGTGCCAAACCTCGATATTCTGGCATCTGAGCAAAGCTCTAATCAGGAAAAGGAAGGCCCAGACTTTGTGGCGGGGAATGTAGGTAGAGAGAATACTGCACTCAAACTCAGGTCCCTGATGTGAAGTACAGGCTTTGCTAATTGCTGGCCCTACGACCTCAGAAAACTCATTTCTTCATTCTGAGCCTTCGTTTCCTTGCCTATTCAATGAGAGGGTTGGACTCACTCAAAGGCCTCCAAGGGTCCTTCCAGGTCTCTACATCTAGGCTCCAACGTGTGACGTTGGGCAAATCCCCTCCCCTCCCTGGGCCGCAGTTTCCTCCTCTGTAAAAGGAGGAGGGGTGGTAGACTCAGTGGCATCTGAGGTCCTTTCTGGCTCTAACGTCCCATGGTTCTGTGACTCCCCCACCCCCTCAGCTCCCCTCCACCCACAGCTCACCTTCCTCTACATCCAGGCTGCGTCCCTTGGCCGAAGGACTCGGTGAGCTCAGCCCTCATCCTCTATTGCTCCTTCCTAATGGAATGTGTTCAGAAGAAAGATGGTGGGGGGGCTGGAGACAGGAGCCTGGGCCCATGGGGAAGGGGGAGGAGTTTAATCATAGTTACTTGTGCATCTCCAGTGCCTGAAGATGCTTTTCTTGTCACAACCAGCACGATTACTGTCATTTTACGGAGGGAGTAGCAACTAAGACTTTGAGTCTAAATCATAGGGTCCCTGATCTCAAGCTGGAAGGGGCCTCGGGGGCCATCAAAACCAACCCCCTTAGGTTACAGGGGGGAAACTGAGGCCCAGGGAGGGGGAAGGGACTTGTCCAAGGTCACAGGGAGGAATCTAGACCCAGAGCTGGAAGGGACCTTTGAGGCCATTAAGTACAACCCAGATCTCAAGCAGAAAGAGACCTTGGAGAGCCATTGAATCCAATCCCCTCGGGTTACAGAGGGGGAAACTGAGGCCCAGGGAGGTGAAGTTATTGGTAACACAGGTATTAAGTGTCAGAAGTAAGACTAGAAGCCATGTCTTCATGATTCCATGGCCTCTGCTTTATTTGGTATCACACAAGTGCAGTGTCTAGAATAAGGGACGGAGTGATAGAGAGAGGTGGGGAACACACATGGCCCTTTGACTGAATCCAAACTTCACAGAACAAATCTCTTTAATAAAAGGATTTGCTCTGTAAAACTTGGACTCAGTCAAAAGGCCCCACCCGAGGACCTAGAAGGCCACGTGTGGCCTTGAGGCCGTAGGTTCCCCACCCCTGTTAGAACTACTGTTCTCTGCCTTGTTCATACCTATTATATTCAGTTCTGGGATCACATTTTCAGAAAAACAATGTCAAGATGGAGGATCAGGTGGGGGGGTGGTATATGCAAAAGCCTGGAGATGGGAGATGAATAATTTAATGGAGAACGTATGGAGAACAGTAAAGGCGAGAAGTGGGATATGAAGCCAGCCCGGCCACCTCCAAATCCAGCAATTTGTCCACTGCCCCATACTGCCCCTGGCCTCAGGCTTCTTCAGCTAAGAGAATCCATTTCTAAAATCTAGGTTCTCCAGGGCATGCCTGGAGCTCTAATATGGAGAGGACAGGAGATGCCCTGTCCCACATGGCGATTTCACTTCTGATGCTAGGCATGACTTATTTGACTCAAGGCTAAATCATGTGACTGGCTTTCAACAGAAATCTTTTCTTCTGTGTCTTAAATGACCTTTATCTCTGGGACAAGACCTAGAGACGAGCAGCCCTGGATGAGAGCCAAAACATCCCCTGTAGGAAAGACAAACATCTTTCCATGCTCTTGGCTCACAATGATCTATAAGGCTTTGAATCCAACCCCTTGGATACCCAGTGACATCAATCTCTAATCAAATATTTGTTACCTGTTTCCAAAGTGGGCATGCCCAGTGGCCCTTCATGAACCCCCTGCCTGGGCCACAGATCCAGGGTCTGGGATTCGGAACCCCAGGAGGAGATTCAGAACAAATGGGTCTGGATGCACTGGGCTCCAAGGGCCTCCCATCCCTAATATAGCTTGTTTTCATCTCTTCCTATCCAGCCTCTGCTTTGGTTCAGGCCCTCATCACATCTCTCACCTGGAATATCGCATCCTCCTCCTTCTGGATGTTCCTGTTTCAAGCCTTTACCCATTCCCATCCATCCTTTGCTCAGCTGGCCAAAGCAAAATTCTCAAAATGCAGATCAAACCCTCTTTTCCCTCTATTCAAAATTCTTCAAGAGCTCCCTATTGTGCTTTGAATGAAACACGGAATTGTATTTTTTAAAAGCCCTTGGCCCACCATTTACAGCTCTCCAGGCTCGGGGTCCCACCTGTCATCTTCTCTTTGTCTAGTCATACTGGCCTAATGCTGGCTTCTAGCATTTTAGCGTGGATTACCCACTAGGCCTGGAAGGAATGCTTTCCTTACTTCTGCCTCTTAGAATCTCTAAGTACCTTCAAAGCCTAACTTAGTGACACCCACTCTACAGGGACCTTCCTGACACCATTGCCCCTCAGGTAGGTTGGTTTACCACCTGTGTCTCGAATTTCCTTTGCATTAAGCCCATTCACATTGGATTGCCAACTTGGGGCTAGGTTTGATTAACAGATGAGTGAATGCATAAAGCGAAAGGTCATGTGGTATAGTGGACAGGGCTTTAGACATTGAGCTAGGAAGACCTGCGTTCAAATCCTGCCTCAGATACTTACTAGCTATGGAGACCATGGACAAGTGCCTCCGACTCCTCATCTATAAAAAAAGGAGGTTAGATTCAATGGTCTATGTTCAGGTGTGGGGAACCTGCAGCCTGGAGGCCCATGTGGCCCTCTGACTGAATCCAGCCTTCACAGAACAAATCCCCTTAATGAAAGGATTTGTTCTGTAAAACTTGGAATTGGTCAAAAGGCCGCACCTGAGGACCTAGAGGGCCACATGTGGCCTCGAGGCCACAGGCTCCCCACCCCTGGACTAGATGGTCACTGAGATCCGAGGCTCTTCAGATCATCCATCTCATACAACCTCCTTCTTTGATAGTTGAGGAAAATGAGGTCCAGGGAGATGAAGTGACAAAGGCATACAGATCACCTCCTAGAACAAGGGTGGAGAACCTGCTGCCTCGAGGCCACCTGTGGCCCTCTGGGTCCTCAAGTGCGGCCCTTTGACTGAATCCAAACCTCACAGAACAAATCCCCTTCATAAAAGGATTTCTTCTGTAAAACTTGGACTCAGTCAAAAGGCCACACCCGAGGACCTAGAAGGCCACAAGTGGCTTCCTCAAGGCTGCAGTTCCCCACCCCTGGTATGAGGTCTCCTCCACTTCCAAATCTATGATCTTCTCTGCTTTGTACCCAATACAAAGATACTTCTGAAATATTTAAATTGATCCATTTAGCTGCCCTTTCTCCTCTGCACAAGGAGAGGTGTGCAGGGGCACTTTTCTCTCTTCTCTCTAGGTTTTCAGGACATCCCTCTCTCTCTCCTGGTTCTCCTCCTCCCTCTCTGACTGCTCCTTCTCTGTCTCCTTTGCTGAATTCTCCTCCAGGTCACACCCTCAGGGCTCTGTCTTGTGCCCTCGTCTCTTCTGCCCCTATATATGCTACTTCACTTCATCTCATCTGCTCCCATACCATCTCTATACTAGTGACTCAAATCTGCTTATCCAGCCTTCACCACTCTACTGACCTCCCATCTTGCAACTCATAAGTTGGATGTCCCATGGACACCTTCAACTCAACATGTCCAAAACTGAACTCAATGTCTTTTCCCCCAAACCCTTCTCTCTTCCCTATTATTGTCAAGAGTACCACCATCTTCCCAGTTCCTGAGGCTCACAGCCTAGGCGTCACCCTGGACTCCTCACTTAACCCCCATATCCAAGCTGTTTTAACAAGGCCTGTCAATTCTACCTTTGCAGAATCTCTCCAGTAAGCCCCCTTCTCTCCTCTGACACTGCCCCCACCCTGGTGCAGACCCTTATCTCCTTGTGCTTGGACTATTGCAATAGCTGCTGGGGGGGTGGTGGTGTCTGCCTCAAGTCTTTCCCCACTCCAATCTGCCCTGTATTCAGCCAGCAGTGACTTTCCTAAAGTGCAGTTCTGACCATGTCACCCTCCTGGAAATCAAACTCCATTGTCTCCCTGTTACCTTCAGGGTCAAGTACAAGATGCTCTGTTTGGTGCTCAGAGACCTTCATGACTCAGCCCCCTCCTACCTTTCCAGTCTTTTTACCCCTTACTTCCTGACACGTACTCTTTGGCCTGGCTGGTCCGTGAACAAGACCCTCCATTTCTCTGCTCTGGGCATTCTCTCTGGCTCTCCCTCAATGCTGTTCCTCCTCAGCCCTGATCACTGACCTCCCTGGCTTCCTTAAGTCCCAACTAAAACCACACCTCCTCCAGGCAGCCCTCCCCAACCCCCTTCATTCCAGGATCTTCCCTCTGGTCAGTATTTCCTAGTGATCCTGCATAGAACTTGCTTTGGACAGATTTGTTTGCATGTTGTGTCCCCCATTAAAGTGTGAGCTCCTTGAGGGCAGGGACTGTATTTTGCCTCTTTTTGTATCCCCAGTGCTTAGCACAGTGCCTAGCACCTAGTAGGAGCCTAATAAATGCTTACTGAGTAGTTCAGATAGGTTAGCTTTTTAACAAGCAGGCATTGCTCAAAACTAGGGCAATTGTAATCCTAAGGCTGATATGGTTGGGGTGAACAGAATTCACCACACCTGGAGTTCCAGAAAGTAGCTGGCGCTTCAGCAGAGGAGTGTATTCTCTTGGCTTCTGCTCTGAGAGTTGACTCTGCAAAGGTTATCGTAGCCAAATGACTCATCAGCTTTGGACCAGCTGGACCAGCTGTTCTTTCAAACGCCTTATTCTGAAACTTGGCCTGTCCCAGGGCAGAGGAACTCTGGACAAATGATGGTAGACACAGTAAACCTGCCACTGGCCCCCCACATCTGGGGCTTTGAGACGGAGCCCTGATTTCTTCCTCTGCCCCTTCCCCCTAATAATAACACCAGCTAGCACTTATTTAATGCCTCTTTAAGGCATTAAACACATTCATCTCATTTCATCCTCACATTAGCCATGGGAGGTCAGTACTACTATTATCCTCATCTCACAGATGAGGAGACTGAGGCAGACAGAGGTGAAGTGATTTGCTCAGTCACACAGCCAGTAAGGGTCTGAGACTGAATTTGAACTCAGGTCTTCCTGACTTAAGCCTAACCCTCCATCTACTGGGCCACTGAACTGCTTCCAAGAGCCCCTCCTTCAGCCCCCTGACATCTGGTTCTGCCTGATTGCTTTTGGATCCTGGGAATAACCTTAGGAGTTGGAGCAGTGGTGGTGATTGGGCCTGTCTGGTCTATAGCAGTTAGGCCTAGAAAGGAGTAGGAGCTGAAGGACACTTACCCAAGGAGAATATTTCCCACAGCAGGACTCCAAAGGACCACACATCACTTTGGGTAGTGTAAATCTTATCAAAGATAGCTTCAGGGGCCATCCACTTGAGTGGGAGCCGGGCCTGGAAAACCAAGGTAGGAGAGACAGAGAGAGAGGGAGAGAAAGAAGGAGAAAGGAGAGAGAGACAGAGACAGAGACAGAGAGAGGGAGGGAGGGAGAGAGGGAGGGAGAGAGAGAGAGAGAGAGAGAGAGAGAGACAGAGAGAGAGAGAGAGAGAGACAGAGACAGAGAAAGAGAGGTAGGTAGGTAGGGAGGAAGGAGAGAGAGAGAGAGAGAGAGAGAGAGAGAGAGAGAGAGAGAGAGAGGGAGGGAGAGCCATTAGAATGCTTCATAGCTTCACCATGCTGGCAGGAGCTATGCCCAGGTGAAGGCAGGGTTGTTGGGCTAGCTGACTGGTGAGCGTCATACTTACGTCTCCTTTCCGGACATAGTCAGGGTCCTTGTAGATGTCTCTGGCCAGGCCAAAGTCACAGATCTTTACCACGTTGTTGTCAGTCAGAAGGATGTTCCGAGCAGCCAGATCCCGGTGAATGCACTAAGGAAAGGGAAGGGGTGGGGGGGGGGTGAAAGGGTCCTTGAAGGGCAATGGCTCTGTCAGGAGGAGGGTTAATGAAGCTCTTAGAGATGAGAGGGGCACATGCTGGGGAGACAGGGAAAGGGCAGTGTCTGAGGACTTGCCCAAAACAAAGCAAAAGTGATTCGATACCAAAGACAAAGGAAGCCAAGTTTGTTGACCCTATCTGAAACTGGGTGAAGGAGGCCCAGCAATGGAGTTGACACGAGAATAGTAATATCCCACTGGCTTCTGGTTAAATTATAGTGGCCAAGTACCCAAAGCGGCAAGAATCATTGGTTAAGAGGCATCCTGGAATATTTAAGTACTAAGAATGACCCCATTTCCTCAGCTTTGGGTATGTTCAGGAGAATCATTCATCGATCCATTCATTCAATGAGCATTTATTAAGTACCTACTATGTACCAGACCCTGTGATTGTCTGTGTGGGGTTGGCCGACAATCACTTTTTAGATGGGGGATAGAAGGCAATTATCCAACTACCAGGGAGCATGGGAGGACCACACTTCAATGGCCTATGTCACAGATACCCCCAGATCAATGGAGCAGGAAGGTTAACGAGGAGGACACATGCTCACTTTTCGGGAGGCAAGGAACTCCATGCCTTTGGCCACTTGGTAGCTGTAGCAGATCAGATCCTCCAGGGTCAGAGGTCGTTTGGACAGATCTTCAGAGTCTGGGGAAGAGCAGAGGCCTAATGAGAATGGCAATGGCTGGAAAGGGGAACCTAAAGAGCCAGCCTCATCTACCTGGATGGCTCGAAGTAGGGACAGCTAGAGAGGAGAAGAGAGGGGAGGGCTGGGAGCACTGATTCCCCTGAGAATTTGATGGCGTGAGGAGAGAGAACAATGACATTCTCTCCATTCTGATGGATAGCCAACTGTTGTCCCTTTGCTAATGGGATCCCAGTGTATATTATTATAGTGAAACCCCACTGGGACTCAGAGGAGGAATCTCAGGTTGCAGAGTTTCACAATCTGATGCCAGGGCACCAGATCATCCAGAGGTAGGGTTTGAGTACAACTCCCACGTAAATAACCCACTTTTTTCAATGAACACAAAGTTCAAATCAAAGTCGACAGAAGTGAGCCTAACACAAATTCCCCCCAACTGCTGGTGAACAGTGATTATTTAACATTCTATGGCTAAACAGTGTCAAATTGGAATTGGCTCCTGGGCAGGAGCTGCCCACGGTGAGCCTAGGATCATGACACAGATGACTTATGTCATCGGGCTCCTCACCACATTTCAATATTAAATGGGAAAACTCTCAATTAAATAATCTTTGACTGGAAGTTATAAGTGCCATAATATTGGTTATGTTTCTTATTCGTTTTGGGAAGTACAACATAATAAGCTGGCTTCCCCAGAAAGCCAGACTTCTAGACAAACAGCTATATTGAAACCGGAATTTGTACAAAGCTAACACAGCATGAAAGCTAGCATACTTTATTTATTTATTTTTTTAGGCAATTGAGGTTAAATGACTTGCCCAGGGTCACACAGCTAGTAAATGTCAAGTGTTTGATCTGAGGCCGGATTTGAACTCAGGTCCTCCTGACTTCAGGGCTGGTGGTTCTATCCACTGCGCCACCTAGCTGCTCCGAAAGCTAGCATATTTAAAAAAAATCGAAATAACTCAAGCACAACTAGGGAAAAGAATTTGGAACTTTCAACAATTAAATTGAAATTGTCTTAAGGTTTTAAAAAATCTGATCTGATTTTTAAAGTGAAATAGCATCCTTTTTATGATATATAACCAGTTTGAATAGAAAATTCACTGGAGACACTTGGACTAGCATCGGCAAAGACAATAGAGAGACAGTTTCTGAAGAGAAAATGCATAACAGCCCAAATCCAGGAAATACGTATCTCCTATACTTATCATTTCAATTATTGGTGTAGATGAATCACTATATCTAAACTGCTATTTGTACAAGGCAAACAGAACAGAGAGCAAGAAACGCGGTCTACCGAACCAAAATCCTGAAAGCGTACATTCAGAACACATCAGGAAGACAAAAGTGTTTTCCTAGAGAAAAGTTGATGTTTTTAATGAGCAAAACCAAACTTTTTCAAAAACTGTGCTTCTAACATCAAAAGGGGTTGCTTGTATCATATATGGTTGCTTACAGAATTGGTAAGTGTGAAAAACCTCATTTGAAATGGTGTCATCTGCAGCTACTGATGTGGTCGAAATGATGTTTGGTGATGCACATGCAAAGTAATTTCGATGGTTCAAAGTGATTTTGAATGGTTCCACATGTAGATGGGAAGAATTGCCTGTAGGCAGTCAATTAATTGGGAAATGAACACCTTCCTATTCTATGTCAAAAGTGGATGAAACAACAGAGGTAGTTAAAGACGCTCATTCGATTACCTATGTATAGGATATTTTTGAAACTCCTGTTGGGGATTTGTTACTTTGATGATGGTGATGCCACATCAAGAAGAGAAGTGGGGTTTTTAATTGATAATGAAATAATATGGAAGACCTGTACTGAACTATTCACTGAGTGAGATCAATTGACTTTGGGATGAAATGTGGCCTGACAGTACTAGGACCTTAGAACATGGAATGTCAGAGCTGGAGGGGGCTATAAAGATCCTGTAAAACTCCAAGCGGATAAGGCTAAAGGAGGAAGCCCAGTGTTCTATGTACTACCCTTTCTTTAATCAACCCCTCATTCAGCCCAGCTTCCTGAGGCTCTCCCCCAGGTCTTGAAATGAGGGTTGGGGAGGGATGAGGGGCCAGGGCATTAGCAAAGCACATCAGTCTCTCACAGCCAGGCTACTAGGGAGCTACTGGGTGGAACCCACCTTCCTCTTCCTCCTCCGAGTCACTGTAGGTCTTGTCTTCGATGAAACCAGAGCTGGCAGAGCTGCTGGTGCTTGCCACGCTTTCCAACCGCCGCTTGGTGAGCTCCGTGAGATCACAGTCAGAGTCCTCTGCTTTCTTTTCCCCTTGTTCAGAGGTGTCCTGGGTCTGAGAGGTAGTTCCTCACAATTAATCTCTGGCTGGGGAAAACCCCTAAGCTTGGACATGGGAAGAAGCTGCCTAGCCCAGCAGGTCATTAAGTCTTCCTGGGGCTTGGAGCTACTGTTACATTTCCCCCTTATCCAAAGTAAGATCACCAGAAAGACTTATAGCCTTAGATGTATCACCATGGTGTCTTGGGGAGGGGGTCAATGGCCATACCAGACTCTACCATGCTAAAATGGCTTCAAATAGAGTCCCAGGAACATGCTGAGTCAATCTAAGCTCAGTACGGAGAGGTCTGGCACCAGATGATGAGGAATTCTTTGCTCATGGCAACCCATGAAATAAAGAACAAAACAAATGGTCATTGGTCTCATCTGGCCCCCTCCTGCCTCTGTAGAGATAGTGATGAGTGGTGGGAAAGGGTGATCCCACCTTTCTGGGACATCTATAAACTTTGGCTAAATGTTTGATCCATATCTAATGACCAAAAGAGTGGACATATCAGTGGAAGAACTAAATCATAGCAATCTTGACATTTTCACTAGGGGGATGTACTGCCCCTGTGTTGAGAGAAAGGGGTGGCCCCAAATGCTCTACTGATCTCCTGGTAATGTGAAGAAAAAGTAAGGAAGGCTTCCAAGGGGTTGAGAGGATGCCCTGTGGTGAAATTATGGGAGGATATGGGCTAGAGTCACACTGGACTGTAAATCCCGGTAAAGTTGCTCTCTGTATTGTTGGAAAGACCATCTCCATGGCTAAGATAGCAGTTCCATTGGAGGTGAGGAGAGGAGAGGGGGAGGGAAGAGGAAGGGATAGGAGGAGAAGAAAGGAGAGGAGAAGAAAGGAGAGAAGAGGAAAGTGGAGAGGAGGAGAGGAGAAGGGAGGAGAAGAAAGGAGAGGAGAGGAGAAGAGAAAAAAAGAGAGGAGAGGAAGGGAGAGGGAAGGAGAGAAGAGGAAAGTGGAGAGGAGAAAGGAGGAGAAGAAAGGAGAGGAGAGGAGAAGAGAAAAAAAGAGAGGAGAGGAAAGGAGAGGGGAGGAGAGGAGAGGGGAGAAGAAAGGAGAGGAGAGGAGAAGGAGAGGAGAGGTAAGAGAAGGGAAGAATGATTAATAAGGGAAGAAATAAAAAGGTTTGAGAAAGAGAGGGGTGATGGAAGGACCCTGGTGTTAAGGACTGGTACAGAAGGTGTCTCAGACTAGAGGGATGGGAAACCCCTGGCTTTTCTTTGGCTCTATTCACAATGTTGTTGTAAGGGTGAGGGTAGGCCCAAATGGCTGCAATGCTAAGAACTTGGTGGTGCAGATCTTCATTTGTGTTCAAATTCCACCAAAAAGCCCTGCCCTAAGCAGAATTCCCTCTGCAGCCCCCTTTATAAGCAGTGATCCAGCTGATACTGAAAGCCCTCCAGTGAAACAGCCCCCACCCCCTCCAGAGGCAGCTCAGCCCCCTTTGGGACAGCTCTCATTGCCAGGAATTTCCCCCTGACTGCAAGCCTGACACTTTCCCTGCATTAGGTGTAGTTCTGCTCTCTGAGGGTAAGGAAGAGAAGGTCATTTCTTCTTGCCCAGGAAGCCCATTCAAACACTTGAAGGCATTGGTCATTTCCCCACCCAGAGCACCGTCTCCCCCAGTGGCAGAGAAGCCCAAGAGCCTCTTCCCCAGGGCGGACTTTACCTGACACCACTGGATTCCTGATCATTCCCTCTCTGGGGCTAAGAACAGAACTGGAGCTGGAGGACCTACCTTGAAGGCAATGAAGTCTCCTCTCTTCCCTCGCAGAAAGTTGGACAGGTTTCCATACTTGCAGAACTCCACAATGACCATCAGAGGACCTGTCAGGGGGTTTACACACAGTCAGTCAGTCACCTTCCCTGTGCTCCCCTTGGCCCTTCCAGTGCCCCCTGGCACTGTACCTGGGCACCCACAATCTCTTCCATCAACGATCTCAAGGGATCACTGGATGATTGGGATGTAGATTTTGACCAGCCAAGGGGTCAGCCCCTGCAACCACAGTTGGCTGGATGGTGAACAAGGAATGGGAAGACTGCCCTCCTGGGTTCCCCTCCTTAGCCCCCAGAGCCTTAACCCTGGCAAATCTGAGGCCCAGGTACATGACACTCTGCTGTCTATATCACCCAACAGACAGTATATCTTTTTTTTTTTTTTGGTTGAAGTCATTCTGTAAGGAGAGCTAGATTTTGCCTATACACTGGTAAATGCTACTGAATGGCAGTGGGCACTCCTGGGGAGCAGTTTTCACTGCCACTAAGATGTGCCAATTTCCCTGTTTCAAAAGCCAAACCTATGTCCATAGCCTGAGAGCAACACTCCTATCCTCTCTCCCTGCAGCCCCAGGAGCCTGGGTTTGAATTTCAACTCTCCTGCTTAACACCACAGAACTCTCAGGCAAGCTCCTTTCCCCCCCAGGCCTCAGTTTCCCCTTCTGAAAAATGAGGAGGTTAGACCAGATGGCCTCCGGGGTCCCTTCCAGTTCCCAATCTATGATCTTAATGAATTATCACAAATTCCAAATTAGTGGAATGGAAATTCCTAAGAGCAGAATCCTAAGGGAAAGGACTTCTGAGCTCACATAGCCCACCTGTACCCCCATCTTACAGCTAGGGCAGGGGGTGCGGGGAGAAGCAGCACCATCCAGGATATTATCAAGTTGTTTGCCCTTCAGAAATACACATGCAAGAAAAAAAATTGCTCAACTCAGGAAGGGAAGGCACATTGAAGAGATCCTGAGAGGACATTTCTGATGGTCACAGGATTACAGGATCTTAGATCCAGAGCTGGAAGGGATCTCAGAGGCCCTTTAGTCTAGTTTCCTCATTTTGCAAATGAGGAAACTGAGGCCCAGTGAGGGGAAATGATTTGTACAAGGTCACACAGGTAAGGAAATATCAGAGCCTCTAAGCTCCATATGAAACATTTTTTGTGACCTTTCACCAGATGAAAACAGTTTTCACTGTCCAGGAGAACAAGAAAGATCCTACAAGTGAGGAGAAGGGCAAATGTTGGCCTGAATTTTAAAAAGAGGAGGAGAATGAAGTCTGTGAACTCCAAGGCCAGTGAGCTTGAATTCAATTGCAGAGAAAATTCTGGAAGGGACTATTAAAGAGAAGGTTGGTGAATATCTAGAAAGAGAAGCAGTGATCACAGAGAGCCAGCCTGGCTTCTTCAAGCACGGGACATGCCAGGCCAGCCTCATTTCCTTTTTTGACAAGATCCCTAAATCAATAGATGAGGGGAATGCTGGGGATGTCATTTACCTAGATTGTTGGAAAATGATTAATCATCTCATATTGTTCTTGTGGAGAAGATGAAGAGATGTGGGTCAAGCGTTAATAGGCTAAAATGGATTTGGAACTGATTGTATGGTTAGACTCAAAGAGTCATTTAATGCCATTGTAGCAGGAGGTCTCCAGTGGGGTGCCCCAGGAATTTGTGTTTGGCTTTGCGCTATTTAACTTTTTTTACCAATGACTTGAATAAAGGCCTAGAAGATGTGCTCATCACATTTACAGAAGACATAGAGCTGGGAGGGCGAACTAACACAGAGGATGACAGTCAAGATTTCAAAAGATCTCAATAAACTAGAGCACAGGTTCCTACTGGGGTCTGTGAACTTGTTTTGAAAATATATTTGAATAACTGCACTTCAACATAATTGGTTTCTTTTGTAATTCTGTGTAGGGACAGCTAGGTGGTGCTGCAGCAGATAGAACACAGGGCCCAGAGTCAGAAAGGCCTGAGTTCAAATCTGGCCTCAGACACTTACTAGTTAGATGACCCTGGGCAAATCACTTCACCCTGTTTGCCTCAATTTGCTCATCTGTAAAATGAGCTAGAGAAGGAAATGGCAGACCACTCCAGTATCTTTTTCAAGAAAACCCCAAATGGGGTCACGAAGAGTCAGACATGACTGAAATGACTGAACAATAACAAAAATAATTCTGTGTATTTTATTTTCTGCATTTAAAAACATAAGTCTGAGAAGGGGACCCTAGGCTTCACCAGTCTGACTGCCAAAGGATGGACTCAAAAAAGGTTCAGTCTGACTGTCAAAGGATGGACACAAAAAAGGTTCAGGACCTTTGGGCTATGGCACTGGGTTGAATCTAATAAGATGAAATTCAATGAGAATAAAAGTAAAGTTTTATACTTGGGTTTAAAAAATCAATGTCACAAGGATAGGGAGGGGAGGCCTGCTTACATAGCAGTTTGACAAAGATCTGGGTGTTTAATGGATTATATGTTCAATAGCTGGAGGTGACTGGGTGGCAAAATGGAGAAAGCTCTGGGCCCAGAGTCAGGAAGACCCCAGTTCTGAGTGGCTGTTATGAGTCTGGGCAAGGCACTAAACCTCAGTCTCCTCATCTGTAAGATGGGGATAATAATAACACTGACCTCTCAGGGTTGTTGTGAGGATCATCAAATGGGATGACATTGGAAAAGTGCTTTGCAAACCTTAAAGCACTATATAAATACATGCTATTATTATTATTAAGGTGCTGTAATGGTTCTTAGTCACTCTATAGATAATTCATCTTAGGTGCAGTGAATAGAGCACTGGGTGTGGAGTCAGGAAGATCCAAGTTCAAATTCAGACAAAATTCAGTTCAAATTCAGTTCAGACTCTTACTAGCTGTGGGGCCCTGGGTAAGTCACTTAATGTCTGCTTGCCTCAGTTTCTTCTACTATAAAATGGGGATTATAACTGCATCCACCTCCCAGGGTTGTTGTGAGGATCAATTGAGATAATGTTTGTAAAGTGCTTTGCAAACCCTAAAGTGATGTAGAAATGCTAGCTATCACTACTACTACTAATAACAATAACAACAAGAATATGAGTCAGCAGTACGATGTAGCAGACAAGAACACTCATGTGAGCTTGGGCTGCATAAAGAGAGCCATCTATCCATGTTTCAGGAATAAGGAGCTGCTAGTCCCACTGTCCTCTGTCCTAGTCTGACCCTACCATGTGAGGTGCTGTGGTCAGTTCTGGGTATAAAATATTAGAAAAGACATTGCCCAGTACCCAGAGCACCCAGAAGAAGGCAACCAGGTTAGTGAAGGGGCCTGAGTCCCTGTCAATTGAAGATTGGTTGAAGGAGCTGGGTCTGGTCAAGTCTGGATGAGATAAGACTTAGTAGGGGGAGGGACAGGATAGCTGCCTTCAAGTATTTGAAAGGCTGACATGGGGAAGAGAGGTTCGCCTTGTTCTGTTGTCCCCAAGGAAGAGTCAGAAACTGGAGGAAAGTCGTAGAGAGACCAATTTAGGCCTGGTGTCCAGAAAACCCGCTTACCAATAGGAACATCCCCAGGTAAACTGAGCTGCCTCAGAGGCCCCCCTTCATCAGTGAAGAGCTGGATGGCCTCTGGTTGGGCATGTTATCCTGGGGAGTTTGGGTCAGGTATGGTTAGACGAGAGGGTCACTGGGGTCCTTACCAACTCCAAAGTTTTGGGAGGGTGAAGTGACCTCTGGAAGAGCCAGGCCAAGAAGCTGGTCAAAGGATGGGGGCTGGCCTTGGAGATCTCTCCATGGTGCTTTTCTCCCCACTGAGAGGCCTCACCAGCTAGCTCTTGGTCACCGTTGCAACTAGTGCGTTTCTGCTCTTAGGGGATAGGGGAATGGGCCAGAGCATCCTGCTTGACTGTTGACTCAGGTCCTCAGGATCTGCCAACGTGGGCCTACTCTGTGGGTCTGCTTATCATACTTCTCAGAGCAGGTGGCCCCCATCCTAGGGTCTCCTACTCAAGCCTCAGGGTACAGGACTCCCCTAGGGAAGCGACACTCTTGGGGTGGCCAGGTATATCAGAAAGGACCAGTGTAGCTATCAGAATGACCAGAGGGGCCCCAGGGCAAGTAACTCCCGATGGGATGAGCAGAACCCAGGGAGGATGGGGTTCTCCTTGAGATGGCACAGCCGAGCTTCAGAACAGGGAAAAGGCTGGAGGCGATTTTTCTTCTGTGTCAGTTCACACTGCTCCAAGCAAAGATGCTCAGTGGTTAGGGAGAGGCCCTGCTGTGGGCGTGTTGCCTGGATACAGCAGAGTCTCATTAGATTCATGCTCCTCATTGCCTACTTGGGGTATATGTAGAGGGCTGTTATTTCACCTGCTCCATCTATTATAAGCACAATGACACATTTGGGCAGCAGTTTCCCTTCCTTATGGCCTCTCATACCTAGGATGTCTTCAGCCCCCTACAACAGGCCCCGTGACGGATGGATGTGGGACCTGCTATTGAGTCACTGGGCGCTTGCCATCCAGCTACTCAGACATGGCCCTTAGGGAGATCCCTGTTCGTGGAACCCCTACAAGTTAGAATCCCATTTTCTTTATACTTGAGAAAATCTCAACAGTTGACTTGTTAATACACCCCCAGCTCACCCGCCACATGCCCCTCATGTTGGCCTAGGACCCTGAACCAAAGAGCCCTGGGAATAGCAGCTCCCTCCAGGACACTGATCTGGCTTGTAGTCTGACCTCCATAGCCAATCATTGAGGGGAACAAGCCCTGATGGGGCTGTTTCTCACTCCATCCCTATCTCCTCACCCCCACTTTTCAATCCAGTGACCCTAGCCTCCTCACTCTTCCTCTAACAAGACCCTCCATCACCTCCTGACTCCAGGCATTTGCACTAGCTGGGTCCCCTGCGAGGAATGCACTCCCTCATCACCTCTGCCTTCTGGCATCCCTGGTTTCCCTCAAGCCCCAACTCAAATCCCACTTTCTACGGGAAATGTCTCTGACCCTTTCTTAATTCTAAGGCCTTTCCTTTGTTGATTATTTCCTATTTATCCTGCGTAAAGCTTGTTTGTACATAGTTGTCTATATGTTGTCTCTTCTATTAGACTGTGAACACCTTGGAAGCTGGGACTGTCTCTTGCCTCTTTTTGTATCCCCAGAATTTAGCACAGTGCCTGGCACATTGTAGGCATGGGTAAGAGGAACTAAGACAGAAAAAGTAGATAGATGTTACATGGAAGAGGCTGGAAATCCTCTATTTTATCCAAGAGGCAATGGGGAGCCATTGAAGATTCTTGACTCCAGGAGAGGAGGACATTGTCAGATGTGTGTTTTTGGTATATTGATTTGACAGCTGCGTGGAAGGTAGAATGTAGGAGAGAAAGATTAAATTCAATTAAAGTACGTGTGGTGGGGGATGGAGTGGGACTCGTTGGGAGGCGGTTGCAATAGTTCAGGTGAGAAAGGCTGGAGGCCTGAACCAGGATGGGGGCCTTGAGTGGAGAGAAGGAAATGGACGTGAGAGATGGTTGTGAGGCAGAATCGATAAGACTTGGTGGCTGGCTGGACATCGGAGGTGAAGGTGAAGGAAGAGTTAAGGAGGAGTCTAAGACTTCTGGCATGGGCGACCAGAAGGGTGGTGGTGCTTTCCACAAAAATGGCGAAGGATGGTTTAGAGGAAATGCATTGTTCTGGAATTGTCAAGCTGCAGATGCCTGTGGGCACACAGATAGAGGCAGTTGGTGACTCGGGACTGGAGCCAAGAAGGCAGAGATGGGTACAGAGATGGGGGCAGTCAATGGCATGAAGATGCTAACGATGCCAATGGAGGCCATAGAACTGCCCAGGGAGAGGGAGGAGGTGGAAAGGGCCCCGAGCAAAGTCTTGGGCTGCTGCCATTCTTTGGGGAAGGGCAAGATCAGGAGCCAGGAGAAAGAAGCTGAGGAGGAGAGGGCATTCAGGTAGGGAGAAAACGGTCACTGAGACCAAGGGAGGCGAGAGTGGCCACAAGGCAGGGGCCATCGGGAGCTGCTGAGAAGTCAAAACAGATAAAGACAAAGGCCAGCAGCTTTGCAAGTTGAGACAACACAGAGACTTGGGGAGTGGGCTTTCAGTTGAGTGACAGGGTCCGAAAGTAGAACACAAGGGGACCGAGAAGCCCAGCTCCGGAGGCAGGGAGTATCATTTGGTACCTTATCTCTGTCTCTGTCTCTCTCTTCCTCTGTCTCTCTTGCTTTCTCTCTGTCTGCCTCTCTGTCTTTGTATCTTTGTCTCTCTCACTGTCTCTCTCTTTCTCACTGTCTCTCTGTTTCTGTCTCACTGTCTTCCTCTCTGTCTCTGTCTTTCTCTTTGTGTCTCTATCTCTATCTGTCTCACTGTCTCTGTCTCTCTTTCTAGCGTCTCTCTGTCTCTATCTGTCTTTGTCTCACTGTCTTCCCCTCTCTGTCGCTGTCTCTCTCAGCCACTAGACATCATTCCCACATCTGCCAAGCTGAAGACTCTTCTCGAGGGCCCTGGAGGGCACAGGGGTGAGCCAGGGGAAACCCATCATTTTCTTGGAGATCCCTACCCCAATCTGAGCCTAAGCCCAGGAACAGAGATTTCATTCCAGAGCTGGGTGCCCATGGACGAGTCACCAAGCTCTCAGCGTCTGCAGGCTCAGAGAGTGGCCTTGCTGGAGGTTCCCTGTGCCACTGACATTAGGAGGCCAGGCTAAAAAAAAGGCACCCCAACTTTCTCTTTTGCACCCCAGAGCCTGAAGAACATTGGTGGTGTGAGCTGCTGGGGGCTGTAATGGCCAAGGGCCATGGGCTTGGAGGCAGGGCTTCCATTCTCTCTCTCTCTCTTTTTTTTTTTTTTTGGTGAGGCAATCGGGGTTAAGTGACTTGCCCAGGGTCACACAGCTAGTTAAGTGTCAAGTGTTTGGTCTGAGGCCGGATTTGAACTCAGGTCCTCTTGACTCCAAGGCCGGAGCTTTATCCACTGTGCCATCTAGTTGCCCCTAGGGCTTCCATTCTCTAGCCAGCCTCCTGCCCTGGATTGCCAGCACTGCCCGGCTAATCTTCCTTCTCATCAGATCTGCTGATGTCACTTCTCAGAGAAGGGAAAACTCCCTGTCTGAGGGAATGGGCACTCACATTCATTACTGCCTGTGTAACCTTGGACAAGTCACTAGGCCTCAGCTTCATCATTTTTGAAATGGCGGTGGGGTAGACTAGGTCACCTCTAAGATTTCTTCCAGTTCTAAATCCTCTGCTCAAATATCTTCAATGGCTCCCTACTGCTCCTTGAGTAAAGTTAAATTCTTCTGCTTGGTACTCAAGCCCCTGTACAATCTGATCCTAATTCTGCTTTCTCAGACTTATTTCATCTTACTCCTCCATCCTGGACTCCATGTTCCAGCCAAACTGGACCATTTTCTATCCTCCAGATATACCCTCTATGTTCCCATCTCAATGCCTTTGTTCACACTGTTTCCTCTGCCTGGAATGCCATCCCTCCTTCTAAACACTTCTTGAATTTCATGTTCATTTGACTCAAATACTAGCTCTTCCAGGAAGCCTTCTATGACCCCCTGATCAGCACCAATCTTTCCCTCCTCCAATGCAGATCAGCACTTTCTCTGCTACTTAATACTAGAGAATTTCCTGGGAATTGAGAGGTTTAAGTGACCTGTCCAGGGTCACTCAGCCAGTCTGGGTCAGAGGTTGGACTTTGAACCTAGGTGGTCATGACTCTGAGATCAGCTCTCTATCCATCATCCCAGACTATCTGTTCAAGTGAATTCTGGAGGTATAAAGTTCTCTGTTTCAGGGGTATGTTAGAGCCAATATTAGACCTTAATGTCCATGAAGGCAGAGTCTGTCTCAACTTTACATACACACACCCAGTTGGTCCTGACCATTATTTTACACAGGTACTTGTTGGATGGATGGATGGATGGATGGATGAAATGACAGGCTCCTAAATGGCTCTCAGGGATTTCTCCAGCATAATAGTCTGGAAGTATGAAAGACTCATCTTCCTGAACTCCCATCTGGCCTCAGACACTTACTAGCTGAGTGACCCTGAGCAAGTCACTTCACCTTGTCTGCCTCAATTTCCTCAACTGTAAAATGAGTTGGAGAAGGAAATGGCAAAACACTCCAGTATCTCTGCCAAGAAAACCCCAAATAGGGTCACGAAGAGTTGGACATGACTGAAAAACAATAACACAAGGGCTGGGAAAAAAGGAGACAATAGTGGTCGTCTCCACAGAGGCTAAGATGCTTCTCTATTCATTTACTTTTCATCTACTTATTTACCTCTGTCCCAGGCTACCTTTATCCCTCCTTCCTCCCTAGCACAGCACCGTGCATAGGGATCAGAGGATCACAGAATCAGAAATCTCTTGCTGGAAGGATCCTCAGAGACCAGCTCGTCCAACTCATTTTATGGAGGGGGAAACTGAGGCTCAGGGAGGGGAATTGACTTGTCCAAGGTCATACACAGGATCCTAGGCATTGAGCCCAAATTTGCCTCTTTGTAAACCTCCCCTCATTGTTCCTGGTTCTACCAGAACAAGGTTAATTGGGGAATTAATACAAGACAGACCTTCAAATACCTGAACACAGCTATCAAGTTATCATGTCCCATCCCCCACCCCCACCCCCACCCCTGCCCTGAGCCTTCTCTGCTTCAGGCTAAACATTCCCAATTCCCTCATTTTACAGAGATGGAAACTGAGGACTAGACAGAGGAAGTGACAGGTCCAAGGCCACACAAGCACCAAGTGACAGGGCTGGAATTCGAACTTATGTCCTCTAATCCCAACCTGTCACTCTTTGTATCACACACTGCCATGACATGTGATAAGGCCTGCACACATGTGGGTGATTACCATTTAGGGTTACAAGGCCCTTTTCTCACAATAACTCTGAAAAGCAGCCAGAATCAGCACTAATATCCCCAGTTTACAGTCTAAGAAACTGAGGCTAGAAAGATGACTTGACTAGGGTCACAGTGTTAGTGGCAGGGAGGGGACATCACTGTCATCATCATGGGCATTTCCTCAGAGCTAATTGGCTGACATGACTTCACTGGCCCCTCAAGGCAACCCTGATGGACAGAAACTCTAGATATTATCCCCATTTTATAAATGAAGAAACTGAGGCTATGAAGTGTCAAAGGTGAAAGCCAAACCCAAGTCTCTCCTGACCTCAAGTCCATCAAGCCATGACAATACACTGATGTGAACTTTCTTTCTAAAAGTCTAGTATTTCCTCCATCATGCTGACTTTTCTATCAAAATATCAATGAACATTTATTAAGTACCTACTATTTGCCAGATACTGGGGATGCAAAGTTGAAGAATAAGATAGTCCTTACTCATACAGAGCTTACATTTTCATTTTTCTTTTTTTTTTTTGGCTAGGCAATGGGGTTAAGTGACTTGCCCAGGGTCACACAGCTAGTAAGTGTTATGTGTCTGAGGCCGGATTTGAACTCAGGTCCTCCTGACTCCAGGGCTGGTGCTCTATCCACTGTACCACCCAGCTGCCCCGCATTTTCATTTTTGTAGACCTAATGAGAGGCAGGAGAACAGAACTTGATTACAGAAAGAGCCTCTGATTTTGAAGATGACCATCTGTACCCCCAACTCTTAATCCTTTTATGTTTCATGCTGGACACAACATGGCTCATTTAGGGGTGTGTGCATTGGAGAGGGAAGAGGAAACCTGCTTTGAATACACTACCATCTTGGAAGGGTCAATGGCTCTTGGGGATCATAGGATGATAGATTTTGAACTGAATAGATCATCGAGGCCAATTACCTCCTTTTACAGATGAGGAAACTGAGGCAGACAGAGGTCAAATGACTTACTCAGGGTCACCCAGGTAATAAATAAATGGCAGAGCTGTGATCTGAACTCAGGTCCTCTAACTTCAAACTCAGTACTCCTTGCACTGGAGTACCCTGGGGCTTGGTTGTCCATCCTACCTAGGAGTTGAGAGGGAGGGAGTTGTCCCCACTCTCAAAACTCTTACCTCCGGGCTTGGTGCAGGCTCCCAGTAGGTTGACCACGTTTAGGTGGTGGCCGATGTGGATGAGGATCTTGAGCTCTGACATCAGGGCCTTGCACTCGTTCGATGTTGCACATTCTGCAAAAAGGCCCCAGGACAGCCATTAGTAACAAAAGGGGATGTTTGTTTGTCAGGGCTGCTGGGGGTGGGGGAGCATCTCAGATCCTGTTTACTGACCCAACTGAGGATGCCAGCAGGAAGGGGCTGAACACAAACACCCTGATGATTAGTGGTTGTACTCTAAAAACAATACCATAAACAGATAAGTAGTGCCTTGGGGCCCACTGGCCTGCCAGCAATCTGAGCACTAATGGCATCCTGGGCCTCAAGTCCTTTTCCTCTTTCCTTCCTTAGAATGTCTCTGTGGTGGCTTCCTCTGTGCTTAACCCTTTCAGGTCAAGAGAGAGGCCTGGAAGAGGTCATCAAATATGTGACCCTTGATAGTTTGGGAAAATCAACTCATTATCCCCAGGGGGGTCACCAATCTAAATCCTCTTTCTCAATGTCAGAAGATCCTGAGGCTGGTGGCTCATTACCCAATGGTTGCAAGACCACCATGGAAGGGATTTCCATCACCTACCAAGCCAAAGTGTTATCAGTGGCCCCTGATCCTGAATAGCTAAGGAACTGTAGGAAGAAGGAGGGACCGAATGGTTGAAAGTGGCCATTTCTAGGCTCTGGTTAGCTTTTTCTTTCTCATTTCCTTCTGTGCTTTTCCAATGTTGCTTTAAAGCCAACAGATGGAGTGAAAATACAGGACTAATACCATCTCTTAGTTCAACGTCCCGCTCATCCATTTCAGCTGGTCCTTATGGAGGAATTTGGATATATTTTAACATTCTATGTTCTAAGAAGCTAGTCCAGAGAGCAAGAACTAGGGCTGGGAGGGAAACCTTAGAATGAAGAAGGACAGAGCTGGGGGTGGGGTATTCTTAGATATCATCTAAGTCCCAACTCCTCATTTCAGAGAAGAGAAAGCTGAGGCCCAGAGGACTAAAGTCACTTGTCCCAGGTCCCTCTGCTCATCAGTGGCAGAGTAGAACTTAGGACCGAGGTCACCTGCCTCGAAGGCCTGGGCTCTTTGTCTCCAACCATTCACACTTGCCTCTTCCCCATCTCTGCCCAAGCTGCTACCCAAGCCAGACCATTTTAGCTGTTCTCTGTGCATTATTGAAGGACACTCTGATGGGGCAAAAAGGAGATGTTGAATATGCCCTATTCCTTCCCAATCCCACTGGCATGAAAGCTAGAGTCAGCATCTAAAGTGGAGTCTGGATCTCATTGAGGCAAACGTTTCCCTAGGCTCCCCTATTGCAAAGAGTGAGCACTTCCTTTCCAGTGGGGCCATGTAACTTCCTTCATTTGTGGGCTTTAGGCTCCCTGCAGGAAGGTGCTTTGGGGCTGAGCTTTCCAACTGGGCTCAGAGCTACTAAACAACACGATGAATCCTCTGTGTGGGCTATGGTCTATAGGGAGCGCCAGGTACAGAGGAGTTCAAGTGGAGGCTGGATTACCCCTTTCTCAGTATTCCTGCTGAGGAGCTTCTTGACCAGGTAGGAAGTGGAACCTTCCAATTCCAAGATGGATTTACTAATATCTCTAAATCAAACCCAGTTTGCCTCTCTTGCTCAGACCACGTTCTCTTCTCTTGTTGGGGCATAAGCCTTAAAGTGGCCCTGCAGGAGGACTTGTTTGTCCTGTCCTGCCTGCTGACATGCACAGGGCCAAGAGTATAACAATGATAATAATAATGATAATAATAATAATAACAACAACATTTATATAGTACCCACTATAATGCCAGGCACTGTGCTAGGTGCTTTACAATTATTAACTTATTTGATCTTCACAACACTGGGAGGTAGGTGCTATTGTTATTTCCATTTTAAAGTTGGAGAAACTGAGGCACACAGAGGTTAAGTGACTTGCCCAGGGTCGCACAGGAAGGAAATGTCTGAGGCAGCATTTGAACTCAGGTCTTCCTGACTCCATGCCTGGTGCTCTATGCACTGTGATGCCCTGTAGCAACCCCCTGTTCTGGAATAACACAGGGCCCTGCACACATCAGGAACTTAGAATTGGTGAGAAGCCTGTCCCTATTAGGAGCATGAGCATACAGACAAGCTTGGCCCCTGGGTTCTCCACCCTCCAAAGCTCTTGTGGCCCACTCATGCATGAAAAGACGCTTCCTGGGTGATAGCCAAGGGAAACATTACCTTTCAGCATTTTCACAGCCACCGTTTTACAGGTTGAAGATTTGTCAATGCCAAAGGCGGACGCCTCCACCACCTTCCCAAAGGCACCGTGACCCAGGGTCTTCCCTTCAGGGGTAAGAGGGGAGAATGAGCAGCAGGAAGCAGGGAAGCAATAAATGAATAGCAACCATTCCCATGGTACAATAGCAGCCCCATCTTTGCAGCCCAGACACCGAGCAGATTGAGACACTATCTGAGCAGGTGGGGGGACAGAGAGAGTCATTTAAAGCCTCCCCCTGAGGCTTTAAATGGCAGGAGTGAATCTCAAGGAGGATTTAGAGACCTCTACAACAGAAGCTGTAGAGGGATCTGGCCCAATCTCCCCATTTTACAGAAGAAGAAAGCAAGGCCAAGAGAATCGAGGGAACTTGCCCAAGTTCACACAGGTAGGAAGTAATGGAAGTAGCATTTGAACTCAGGTCTTCTCATTCTAAAGCCAGTTTCTTTCCACTGAAATCCTTCATTCCCATTTTACAAAAGAAACTGAGGCCCAGAGATGTAAAGGAGCATCCCTAAAGTCACAGAGCAAGTCAGTAGAAGAGGTGGGACTTTACCCTGGGCAACTTCCTCTCCATACCCTACAGATGATGGCATGTCTACAGAATAAGGCTGGCCCCTGGTGCTCAAAGACTCTCAAGAGATGAGACAGAGGCACACCACCCACCCCCACCCAAAACCTGGGCTTGGCAATACTCAAGAGGTCCCATCATCAAGAGGGTGCATTTCTGATCTGAGCCTCAGTTTCCTTAGCTGTAAAATGAGGACAGTAATTCATCCTCACACTCCTTCCCTCGCAGGGAAGATGAATGGCAGGTCTTTGGTAAACGAGAAAGGCTCTTGGCCAAGGACATATGGCAGAGACTCATTTCTGCTCAAGTGTGCCACCAGATACTTGGAAAGACAAAATGATGGAGTCCTCTTCCTTCACTACTGTAAGGCCGACTTTTCTCTGGACTTCCTTAGTAACTCTGGAGAGGGGTGGGAGGGCAAGAGAAGAGGATGGGCAGCTTACCCAACCGTAAGCGATCTCTGGGAAATTCCCATTTGCTGCTATCGTAGGGCAGTTGGTCACATTGCTGGTCAAGAGGCACCTCTTCGGGGTCCACGATGATGGAGAGATATCCTGTTTTGATGTCAGGGGCGTTGGGCTACAAGGGGACAAAGAAAACCAGGTCTTAGTAGGTTTTCCTGTTCCCACCACTCCATGTGAGTCTCCAGTTTCTTAGTCTGCCTTCAATAGTGGCTTGGCAGGCCGAAGCCAAATGGTGTCCTAGCATGGTGGGAAGAACATTGGAAATCTGGGTTCCAACCTTGGCTCCACTGTCATATTCACTTTGTGACCTTGGGAAAGTAACTTCCTTTCTCTAGGTCTCAGTTGCCTCATTTGCAAAGCGAAAGGGAAGGAGCTAGGAAAAGTTCCTTACAGCTCTGAAATTATGTTCTTAAAGTCTTCAAAGGTCTTACCCAACTCTGATAGTCTATGTTCTAAGAGGCCTCCCAGCTTGAACATTCTGTGTTCTAAGGTACCTCCTCCCGCTGACATTCTATGTGCTAAAACTCTTGCTGTTTTGACATTTTGTGTTTTAGGTCCCTCCCAGCTTGGGTATTCTGTATTCTAAGGTCCTTCTCAGCTCTGACATTCTGTGTTCTAAGAGTCCTCCCAGCTTGGGTATTCTGTATTCTAAGGTTCTTCTCAGCTCTGACATTCTGTGTTCCAAGAGCCCTCCCAGCTTGGGTATTCTGTATTCTAAGGTCTGTGTTCTAAGAGCCTTCCCAGCTTGGGTATTCTGTATTCTAAGGTCTGTGTTCTAAGAGCCCTCCCAGCTTGGGTATTCTGTATTCTAAGGTCTTTCTCAGCTCTGACATTCTGTGTTCTAAGAGCCCTCCCAGCTTGGGTATTCTGTATTCTAAGGTCTGTGTTCTAAGAGCCCTCCCAGCTTGG